TATCAAAGTGATATAGTAAGCTAAATAAATTCAAAAACCGATCACAATTAGAATATCTAGTGTTGATTGCAATTGTATTAGTTAGATGCATCTTTCGGTGCTCATGATATATTTCATCTTTATTCTTATGTTATTTTTACTCCGATTCATAACCTTTAAGCTTTAAATGTTGCTTTATGTGCAATAAGATTCCATTTTTTTGAATTTAATCATCACATTAACATCTTAAATCTAATGCAACGATAGTTTTCTGAATGCCATCACTGATTTCTGATCATCTTTGAGAAAATTTCTAAATTTTTATATCAATAGACAAAGAGATGATGATTTTCATCATCTCTACAATCATAATTAAATTTGTATCAATTTCATATTGTATCAAATTTTCTTTTGCATATTTTTATACATTAAATTATATCTTATGTGAATCTCTACTTTAAATTGCAGTGGTTACTTCAAGTTTTGCCTGCTAAGACTTGTAAATTATGATGATGGTTTTAACAATCATCAGCAAGTTGTGGTATCAAGATGAACATTCATTGTAAAATGCATTGTAATTACTATCTGAGGTTTAAAATATCAATGCTGTGAATGAATATAAATCCATCAAGCTGAATCTGCAATTTCTTAGAGGTGTTGGTTATACTTTTGAAAAAGATCATTTTTCTCAAAAGATTAATTTTTGTCTCAAAAAATAACAAATAATCATCTCCAATTGATTGGGATCCACAATTTTATCGGTATCACTATCACTATATCCTTTAAGCCATGATAGATGATGTAACTTTAAGTAAGATGTTCGTTTCAAAATATTGATGGCAAGTTTTAACAGTTTGATCAATTTAGATAGACTCTGATCAATTCCTAGCGTGAAATCGTTTACATTACCAAGTAGTGTTAAAACAGTAGTTGGAATCAACCTACTCCTTATTTGATAAGATATCGGTCATGACTATACAGGAATTATGAGCGAGCAGCTACTAACTCTACCTAGTACAACTCTAGATCCATCATAGTATTTCCATGGAACAAATTAGAACCTCTATGCTAAACCAGATCTCTACGTGTCGTTCAGGAATTGCGTCATCTCGTTCCAATGACTACAACCACGTACGTCAAGTTCGTCAACTTTTAGTAAAATAGAATGTTCCAGCCGATTAGAGTACAGCTCAGATGCTACGGAAAATTGCAGACTTTTGTACCTCTCAGAATCACCAAAGGTACGTGGATCACATCAACACTAGAGGACACTAGATCTGCAGACTCATGTGATCATGTAGAAACTAAAATAAAGACATTCATCTTTGGGAGATGACACAAGTTGTCTTTCAAAACGTAACGTTAGCAGTCTGAGCAGGTCCCCACCTACTGAGCTTGAGCAATATCAAACAAATTTAGAATTTGACTTACATGAACTTCCAAACGATAGAACTTGTATTCTGTTAAAGGCAAGTTGATCACTTTGCTGTGATCTCTAGACTCCGTAGGTGGCAGTGCATCAAGTCCCTGAATCATAGATGTGAAAAGTAATAACATTGCAGCTAGTTAGATCACACACTTTTGCTTAAAAGCTTCGCGCATGGGGTACATCTGCATATGATTTTCATGTATCCTTGACAACTATTCCCAAGAGGGGAAATCTCACCAGAAATTATCTTGGAATGTCAGTCTTTCGTGCAAAGTCTTTATGCATGTAATCATCGTCCAGGAGAGTGATCTGGCTCGCATCTTAATCTTGGACTTTGTTCATACAATGTTCCCCTTTTTGCATACGATAGCTCATCTGCTCACTAGGTCCCGGAGGGTCCACCTGAAACGATTAGGCAGCAGTTGTCGTTTAAGCCATGATTGAGTTCCGTCCTAGCTTTGACTATTTGCGTCCACCATAGTTTCCTTCACGCGTTTCTTTCTTCTTTTGACTTTATAATCATCATGAGCACTTTTTGCACTTGTATTTTAATACATATTTCTAGTATGTATGATAACTCCTCATCTCTGAAGTGTTAAGCTCACATCAATCACTGCCATATATAACAACGAGTGATTGGAATTTTTTTTAACGATGCTATTTGACCTACTCTGAGCTCAAACCGAGATTATAGAGAAACCTATGTCTGTGGATTCAATGAGAACTATTGTGACTCTAAACCATGCGAAGAGAAATAAATAGAAGGCTGGTCATACATTATTTAAATAATAAGAATGCTGGATAGATCATGTTCATAGTCTTTGTTTTTTGACTGCTTACTTTTGGCTTGAAATCTACATTAGAATAGTCTGATTTTAAATTGTGAAATTTCACAATCTCACTAGATATGAAATTGGTCTAAGTAAAACAAAAAAATTCTAAGTGGACTTGATAATATCATAAAATCAATGAACAAATCTTTCAAGATTATTATGTATTATCATGTACAACCACTAGGGACACCATAATGAGGGAAAATAATTAAGAATTTAAAATAACCTACAAAGATAAAAAAAATCAAGTCTTATGATAGAAATTTTTTAAACTAAGATACGTTATTCAATTTTAGTTTATTCAAATAGATTAGAAGTATCTCGCATTCTCCTTGGATATTAAAATTGATCTACACATATCAAATATATTTCATTCTTTGCTATGTCACTTTTTCAATCATGCCACATATTTTATGTGGCAGTGGATTTAAAAAGTTGATAGACAGATACAATTTTATTGCTTTAACTCTTTTCTACTTATATTCTATTTATATGAAGTAGACTATGCACAGTTCAAAACAATTCTAAATCTCTCCATAGAGGTTCAAATCACTGGTTTTGACCTGGAAGTAGTTGTAATCCACCCTCTCATCCACAAAATTTTTTGGAATGATACATATTCGTCTTAAAATCCGACTTTTATATGGAAAATAACTTTCAATTTCACAAATAAAATTTAAAAAAACCTCATATTTAAGGCTTTTATTTCATTTTAAACCCTAGGAAAAACAGCCGTAAAATTTTTTGATGAATACTTATAATTATTCTTTGTTGTTTCAGAGTAGAAAATTTTATGTGATGAAGCAATGCTCATACATTTGATTTAAACCAAAATAAACATGAAAACATGATTTAAATATTATGTTTATGCTATAATCACTTTCATTAACTTCATAGTTCCTATTATATTCTAGCTTCATAAATGATCGTGGATGAGTAGATGCAATTGCATCTTCCTTATAGAGAACTTACAAAAGTTCCCCATGAATTCATCAATAATTCTTTAGATCGCAATATGTACCTTCGAATCATTATTGCAACAAACTTTTTTAGTCCTAAACTTTGTCATGATTATATCTATGAATGATATATGACTTCATATTCTTGTACAGTCCTTTATTATTATTAATTATATATATAATCGGATCACAAGATAATAAACTTGAGGAAATAAATCATTTGGAAATATTATACTGAATATATTTCATTTATATGAGCATTATTTCATTTGAAAGTCTTCAAATTTTGAGTTGATATATACGCATTAAAAGACTTAGAATTATACAAACCTAATGATAACTTCTAACTTTAGGTAAAATTCATTTTCGTGGATTTCAACTTCTGTAACATATCTAAATATAATATTTTTAAGTTTATTATTACATATCAAATGTATTACAAATGTAGAGCCCAAAAAAATCTTATTTCTCAATTTCCTCTTAATTTTTTCTCAAATTTCATATCATTAGTTGGGCCAAAATCTGATAAAACTAATCGGTTTCTATCTGATGCAATGATTTTAAAAGATGAAGTTTTTACGTCAGTTTGAAATAAACAATTCCTTCATGATATCAAAATAATAATAATATAATGTAAATTAACAGTCAATACGAAATTGTGTATATATCTCGTACACAGCTTTATAATAATCAGGTTGCAACTGAGTGTTGACATTAATTTATCAGATTTATCAGAAACTATTGTATACAGTTAAAACTTGTAAACAAGGTTTGTATCAATTTGAAGGTGAATTGAATGTTTTCTGGAAGGGGATATTTTCTTTTTCGCAGGGGAATTAAACACAGTACTATTCATGACATTTTTAAGGTTTCTTTTGTGGATTTTTAACGGTAAATATAAATCATAAATTGAGTCATGAGTAGGATTTGAATACCGCTTGTTAGACATCAACGGGAAAGGAAAGAACAAATATTAATGTTCACATTCAGATATATTCTTCGTTCATTCTGATTTTATTTGATTTAGGTCAGATTTTTCCCACGAACCTTCCGTTTCAGGTGAAGTTTAAGTTTGCTTTCTCATCAAATTGTGTTTGATTTTCAAGAGTTATCAATTGTACTCACGTGTAGAGGATTATAGCTATAATCTCGTTCCAGCAGGAGCCAATGTCAATAGAAGCTGGTATTATAGAGTTTTCCCAATGTGCGAAGACTGAGTCGAATTTTTTTGGAGGGTTTTTTTTTTTAAATATTCTCAGCGGCATATTAGCGTAATAGAGTGGAAGTTTGCAGGTTGGATTGCTAACTTTTAATTCTTACGATTTCAGTATTTACTTAAACAATATATGCCAGTTACATTTCGCCTGCTCTTTTTCATGTTCTTACTTTGTAAAGCAAGATCAGTTTGCGTACGTTGTTATATATTGTGCTTCATAACATCCTCTTAATCATTTACTTTGCCTCTATTTTCTTCACCTCTACATTACAGGATAATTTTTTAGGACAGAGATCATGCGCTTTAAATGCGTATATTGCATCCACTTACTGCACACTTGCGGTGAAATTGGATGATGTTTAATGATTTTCATCTGAACCAAATGATTTAAAAAGCGGCCATCACCAGAGTTTTAGCAGTGGTACCATCAATAACATTCGACAGTCAAGGACAATCACGATATGGCTCTGTTATTGACAGTGCCATATCAGATTGTGTATCTGTACATGTATAACCATTTACTGTACTACGTCAGCTCACATGAACTATCAATTAGCAAACTGGATAAGAAAGAGCACTGTAATGAGGGTCGACGTCACAAGGAAAACTTTCTTCCGTCTGGATTCGACTACAGGCGATAATGATATACCGTACGACTTTTGATTAACAGTAAACCTCTAACAGGACAGTCATTAAGAGTAAATAGCAGATCACGCCATTACTGTACACCTTCGTGCAGCAAAGTCAAAGAACAGATGTGCGCTTTAAGAATGAATGATCAAGGACGGCTTACAACAGTTGTGAAAAGTTCCATGAGAATCGTCCTCGTAGATAACCATCCCAAAACATAAAGCATACAAAGCGTTAGCCCCCACCGTGAAGGTGATCAGTCAACCACCCTGGAAGGCTAGTGGCTACAATAGTAAGGGAAACCTAGAGATTCCGTTGTTCATCCTGGCGTTCAGAGATAAACATTGATTTTGTATACAAATCTAATTGCAAGTTCTAATAGCAACTTCAGATTCAAAGCCTTCGGGTAAGCCTGATTGAGCAAGTCTGGGCATGGAGCACTACTCTTCCCAGTTCAGAAATTAACCTCAGCCTCACGGATCAGTCCCAGAGTATCCTCCTGTCATGCAGCCAGCGTTCGAGACTGGAAATGGCGAGCCTCGAGGAGGATAGGGATCATCCGAGTAAAACTTAACCCTACGACTTGAGTGAACAGGGTTACGAAGATCGTAAATTGACGCCGTGTACAAGAACAGGTACCATCTTACACCTCTCAAAGGCCTGACCAAGGGCAAGTAGGATAATCCCATCTAGTTCTTAGGACCGATATCTTTGAGAGCACAGATCTGCTCCTCTCCCATGGCGGACATCACTGTCACAACAAGGTCCTTTCCGTCGCCAAATCCATCCTTGATCTGAGATGACAAGCACAATTTCAACAAACATTCGTAGTCAGGACGATTCACCTAGCCCGACACATCCAAATAAACATGATCGAACTTCAGACACAAGTACGTCAGAGACAATAAACTCGCACTGACCTGGGTGAGGAGCTGGTCGTCGGTGGGGAGACGAAGGTCATCCTTGGTATCACCAGACTCAGTCAGGAGGGACACCTGCATTCGTCAATGATCACTATCAAAATGAATCTCAAAAACGCATGCATACTCCAAGATGTATGTGTCAAAAATAATTACAATGGAGGAGCTACTGGTTAAAGTGACGTAGATCCGGAAACTTGATCACAATGGTTCCACGCGAGTTTGGGTTTGCGAAACTTACGAATCCATCCTCGGATATGTCAATCAGCTGGTAGTCGGTACGAACGACCTCAGGGACCTGCAGCGTTTAGTTGGATAGGAGAAGGGTCAGCACACCAAAAATGATGCATGTGAACATGATTCTGTTTCTTACAGTACATTGATCGGTAAACATAAACCAAGTTTGCGGTCAAAAGCGAGACCTACACAGAAACATGTAGAGAAAAAAAGACAGATCTCACACAAATTATTTAGTCAAGAAAACGCTTACATCACAATTGTGGGAGGAAGGAACGATATCCTCCAGCTTCTTGCCAGTGAAAATATCGATACCCACAAAGTGACACTTAGCGTGACCGTGCTTGCCGGTCTTGGAGGTGGAAACCTCGACAACCTGCACAGAACAACAAGCACTCACATCACATCCAGGCTAGTGTGCCTCAGCATGGTGAACAGTATTTACGGGTAACTAGAACTCTAGGTCTTGAACAAAACGATTGGAAAGTGCCCGATATGCAGGTGTAGATGTCGAAGAGATCGTTCTCCGTCGCGGAGACAAGTCGATAGCAGGAAGTGTCAATTTTGGTGCCCCATCACATCATGACAAAACAATATAGAGGAGGCGGATGGAAAACGTAAGCAGTTCAAAGCGTAAACTGCATGCACACTACTTTCGACGAATATAGGAACTTCCTCCTTGCAGCAAAGGCCAAGGTGGACTGGAAGAAAACGGGCCAGAATTAACCAACCCGGCGACCCAACAGAATCAAGAGTGTACACGAACTCACCTTGCAGGGCCTCTGCTTGATCACAATGTAAGCATTCTTTCGAATTGTACCGGCCTGCTGAGGGTAGGTCTTGGAGGCACCGGCATCGGCCTTGGAATCGAAGTGGTGATCATCATCAGACATGGTGGAAGAAAGCGCTTGCTCAACCGCTCCGGGAACCTGCCTCGCGCACACACCGAATCCTCCTTCGAAATACAGCAACGAGTAGGGGCGGAGCAGAGCAGGGCAAGGCGGAGCGGAACAACAACCCTCAGCGCCGATCAGCAATCCTCCAAAATAACCCACAACAGCGAGCCGCTGCTGGATGCCTGCTGCTCCCCCACTACTGCTGGAGGCCGATAATATGAGGAGGCGCCGCAGCGATGGAAAGAAAACCCTTGTGCTCCACTTGAAGCTCTGGCGATGGCTCACTCTGTGAAGAGACTGAGACAGAGGAAAAGCTCGCTCTCTTCCGCAAGCACAAGAGGAGGCCCGAGGAGGGAGGAGGAGGAGGAGCCCGAGCCCAAGCCAGAGGACGACGACGCCGGACCCCGACCGCGTCTTGCGAAGAGGAGGGAGCGAGCAGGAGGAAGAGGAGCGAGCCAGAGCCCGCGAGCCCGCCACGACCTACCGTCTTCGCCCCGTCCGTCGTCCTTCGCGGTCCTACCCTTCGCTTCCCGCTCGACCTATCACCGCTCTCCAGATCCGTCCGAAGGTCCTCCGATCGCGGTCGTCGGATCTCCCGCCCAACGGTCCCGATCGTCCGTCTTCCGTCAATCGGATACCCTTCACGTACGCAGACGGCTCCGTGAGTCGCCGTACTGAAACAGCGTCCGTGTCCGTATGATCCGACTCCGGAAACTCGAACTTTGCACGGGAAGTGCGACGCGCCATCGCATTCCGGTGGATGGCTGTGCGTCATTCCACGGTGTCCGTTGCACGAGCGCCGGACGATGACATTACGGCGGTCAATAACCCCCCACTGTCCTACCCGTGGGGAGGGAATTTTCTTCCCGGGTAGCACGGCCGCCGCGGTGCCACCGTCCGATTCATATCGGGAGGGTCACGGCACCGCCTGTTTAGGGTAAGCCCGGAGGACCGGGACCGGCTTGGCTAAATCAGAGTGGATCGAATAGGGAAAGGGAGCGGTGCGGTGGGTTGAGTTTGGTCCAGTCCCGGTGCAGTTTCCAACCCCAGTTACAGTTCGTGGTGTGATTAACGGCCCCACATACTTCAGAAAAATGCCGGCAGGAAGGAGGAAGAATTAGGGTTACGCCAATTAGGGGGAGCCAGGTGCACAGCTTCTTTTGGCCCAGATATTTCTATTTCGTCCGAAGACGTTCGAAGGAACAGCAAATTAACAGAAATGAATCCAAACTCGTCCATACATCAAGCAGCATTATAAGGACATGATTTCCTCACAACACCTGAAAGGTCCGGGTTCAAAAACGTGGATTCCAAATTATGTGCTACGACCTAATCTCTCATCGTCCATCACTTTCCTAGCACGCAGGAAGAAATTGGAGCATAATAAACACTAAACTTCGCCATTCTATCGTAGTGGCGGGGTTTCCTCAAGTAAGCGAACGTAGTTATCATATTTGAAAATGTCTTTTTCTTCGACCATTGGGAATGCATCCCGATGTAGTGGACTTCATTCTTTCCCGTACAGAAAACATGTGACAAGTCAGCTCATACAATTTTAACCTTGCAGATGACCTAAGGAGCGTAGCCCGAAAGAACATGGCTAAGGCAAGGCAAATTAGACATAATAGTTTGAATTAAGTTGTTGGACAATAGACAAGGGTGCCTACGGAAACAAATGCAGACAGCGACATGAGTGGCCAAAGTAAAGTCCTCGGTATTATCGGAAGACTGATGCATGGCTTCAATATGCTGACGAAGAAGATATTTTTGCTTTTAGTCGCGTCTAACAATAAATCTTGACGGAAGATACAAGGAAATGTATAATTCCCAGTAGACTGGATGGAGTTCCGAACGCAGTGAACAACAAGGCATGTTGCGTCTCCAGTCAGTTGAGAAAACCATTTCCCCAACATGCATGACAAATGGAGGCCGATTTTTTACAGCGCTTGTTCAAACGGAGGTTTCTGTCATTTCCACTATCATATGTTTGGATAAAAAAGACCCGAAACTCATTTCAAGAAACAACATTCAAGATTCGTTATTTCCAAGCTGTCCCCATTTTACCCTTTTTTTCGACAAGAGCTACCTTGGACATAACTGACATCTGTTGAAACTCTTGCATCTGCTTAATATGCATCGAAATGACTTGTGGAAACTAATAGGCAGAAACACAGGAGCAACCAAGTTTGAATACATTGAGATACTTGTAAACGAAACTTATTGGACTGGAAATACTTCTCTTCTTATCTTTGAAAGTGTCGGAGTTGAGAGTACTTCCTCCTCCAATTTAGGTCAAGTCTCCACGTCCTGGAATCGAGAAGCGGGAAGAACAGGTTCACGCCTCAGAGCCAACTAGAGAAGAGTGTGTGTACCTAAGCTGCCGAGTATGTGAGGGAAAGAGCATGTGCGCAAAGAAGTAATGGGAACAGGGCCAATGTATGAGTGATGATGATTACGCAGTGTCACGGTGAGGTCAACACCGATCCGGACGAAGAAAGAGAGCAGAGACAAAATAAGCATGGTGAAGTAGCAATTTTGGCTTTGTACCAGTCTCGGCCAATGAGATATTTGCAACATGGGAATCTTACTCTCAAGTTCTTGTGCTTATCTAAACCAGCTCAGTTTTCAAGGTTGTGTTCGTGTTCTACAATTTTCGATCACTTTCTTCGTCCCTGTCCAAAATTGCTGTCGCTGCAATTTACTGCTTCATGTACATGTGTCATCTACGAGTCTAGTGAGACGAGCCGGATAATGGTTTCGAACATGGTAGATTTGTGAGCACCTCGACAACACTTTCATCCCCTCTGTACTGCGCAAAGAGCAGGCAGATCATGAAAAAGGTATGGAGTCGCGATCAGATTTTTAAGCATCCAAATGTTAGGGCTACTGATATGAAATCCTGCTGATGCAACCTGATATGGTGCCGAGCGCAAGGAATCAACGCAAGAAAATCTAGTCATTTACTGCTCCATTGTACAGTGTGAGTTGTTCGTGGGCAAGCACATGGTCAAAGCAGCCCACATTTGATACGGCATGTCGATATTCTTCCACTGTAGACTGGAAAATGGAATTATTGTAAGGCTCCATGTGTGTTTCGGCTGGATTTCATGACAATCTGCAAAAGCTGATAAAAAAGGGCGTTTTGTACGCTTTGTTCTTCATGATGAGCAGTGTCCTGAAATTTGAGGAATATTCCACTTTTCAAGTTAAAGCTCAGGTAAGGAGATCCTGGTCGTGATTAACAACGTGCGTGGTCTGATTTATACATTTTCGTGAGGTACTGTCTTGTGGAGAGTAAGATAGATCGGGTTTTTTTGAGAATCTTGTTCTTCACTGTACTTTGGGCACATGCATATAGAAAGAAAGGAGTAAGAAAGTAACAAATGCGCAAGTAGATTCGTGCCATGATGCATACATAGGTGAAATAACAAAGAGCATGGAAGCACACCCCATAAAGTCTTCCACGGATCAATCAAAGATGGTAACATGGGCTAGGCCATTATACCATTAGTATGAAATGTATATATACTAACACATCCAAAACGTGGAAACTAAAGAGTGTAGGTAGATTTCTATCCAATGTTTCATCCAGATGTTACAATATATCCTTGATTTAATATAATCTCAAAGGAAGCGGAACAAAATAATGACTCATATGTTTATGTATATATTTTTAAAAGATTTTGATTACTTCCATTTCATTCAACACCTATCTTTGAATGGGCTATAGATTTCTGAAATTATATCTTATATAAGATAGATTAAGGAGCATTCACAGTAATTTATTTGATTTATTTTTTTTAATGCAAATTTTATTCATCAATTTGAAACAAATTTGTTTCAATATGATGTGTGAAATCATAACTAACATAGAAAGTTATATTTCATTTTTTAAATCATGAACAACAGATATGTTACTTACAAGATCACATTGTAATAATCATCCTTTATTTTGAATTTATTCATCTTCCAAATGAACACTGAATACATCAATTGATGAATTGAATCAAAACATTATGTCATCGCCATTGAATAGTATAAAATCAATCAATAAACCATAACCCATAGTTAAGCTTATAATCGCATCATGTATCATTGTCAAAACGAGAACAAAGAAATATTTGTAATCTAACCTAAAGAAATTTAAAGCTTGTTCAAATAGATTAAAAATTTATAGTTCAATTGCTGAGCAAAGACCAAAGAAATAAAAAATTTTACTTTCTTTCAAAGCTTGAATTTATGACTCATTAGCATACATAATATACTGCAATTCATTCACACGAATTTACATTCATTTTAGGAATGATATGAATATAAAGATAACATATTGTTAAAAATTCACAACTAGCTAAAAGAAATATTTGTTCTCCTGCTTGATGAAAAATCTCCTTAACCATATAAAATCAACAAATCATTTGTATTTGTGTTAAAAAAATCACATATTCATTGCTGAATGATATCATATTGTTCAAGAGTTTTAAAAAATATTGAATCAAAATTTGTGAATATTACAGAAATTTAAAAAAAATTAATTGATAAGAAGTGATATAATTTATATTTTACAAAAAATATATGCATCTATGAAGAAATATTATTCATGTTAAATCAAATTTTATTTACAACAAAGAAATTATATCATGATAACATCAACATGAAAAATTTTCAAAAATTGAAATAATAGCATTATACATGATAGCAATTTGTGAGTATGACAAAATATGTAAAGTAGTTTGAGCAAAAACTTACATTTTTTTCATCTTTGATTGATAGTTTTTACATCAGTATATTTGATTTATTTCCAATACGTATAAAAAAAACTTCATATATTTGAAATCCAATGACCCAATAGTATCATATTTATCTTATCAAAAGCTTTTAAGCAAAATATGAGTTAATTTAAATGGAAAAAAAATCAAAAATGTTAAGAAATAAAATTAAATATTTCATTATATATATATGAATGCGTAAATTAAAAAAAATTTCAATTTATCTATTCAAGCAAAGATAACATCTTTACTCAAAATTTTGAAACTAAGTAATATTCCAATATGCATTATTTCATATGTTAAGTTCATATCATATCCAAAAACTGAAATGAAATATATATATATTTAATAAATATACTAACAATATCAAGTGGCAAGGCAGAAGAAAGAAAGAAATGAATAAAAATATATTTATTATTTAAATACACAGTGTTGATAAAAATTCATTAAACATTAATGATAAAGTTAAAAAAACTTAATCATTCATGTATAATCAATTTTTAAGTTTTTGAAAAAAAAAATATGGTGAAAAAACACTCTTTGTGCACAATGAAGTAAGTTTGATAAACATTCACATGTTATTAATTTTCATTTTCATTTCATTTTCATTTCATTTTCATTTAGATATAAATATAGGTTGTGAATAGTAATTATTCCCATCCTCATGATCAAGAATATTCAAATTATAAAATAGTTTTTGGAAGTACTAAAGATGTTAGATAACATTATTACAATCAACAAAGTGCAACAGATAATTTTCTTCTGCCATTTATCAAGTTATCTAGTAACTTTTTCTAATAAACTAAGGGAGTGGCTAGTTATCTCTCACTGTTGGCTAATTATCCTTCAGTCTACTATACTCTCTTTTGTAGGGATTTGTGATTGGTGAGAGGACTGAATGGGACGGGGATATAGTTTTCGTGGAATGGATGGGTATTACTTCTAAAATAACAACTTCTTTGAGTTGGAAACAGCATGATGGCCAACCCTTTACTATTATAGGCATTGTATTCTTGATTTTGCGCAGATGTTTTTCCATTGCATGCAGAGTTAGTACAATGAGGCAGATAATCTAAGTTTCACAATAGCACTTGGCACTTTGTTGATGTATGGTACCTGCTTGCATCAGTGGATGTGATTATTGGCAGCAATAATCTCTAGTGCACCGTAGCAGGAATGAAATAAAAAAGGAGTAATTATAACTATGACCATCCAGACCTGAGTTTCTCATCGTGCACATTTCTTTTATTTCAAAGGAACTTGCGTCTGGCTACAGCCAAGCTGTAGTGATAAGGATGGAAATTGTTACTCTTGTTGTACGCCGGAAACATGTTAATGAAACACTGTTCTTGAAGCCTCTGCAGAATCTAGAGAAGTATGGAGAGACCCGTCTCTATTTTAGAAGTAGCACCCATCCACCCCAAGAAAACTATATCCTAGTCCCACCGCGTCATTTGAAGAAAATTTAGTAAGGTGAGAGATATTAGCCAAAAGCGAGGGATAACTAACCGCTTCCTAATAAATTATTAACTAATTATATTATAGCAGTTTTTTTCATTTGAAAGATAATATGAATTTTTTTATAAAATAACTAAAGACTTAGAAATAATTATTCAAATACTTATTGCTTATAAGTGTATATTATGCATATCAAATGAAATATAACCTTTTGAGACAAAATGTCAAAATTGTCTTGGAAATCAAGACTTATCAAAATTTTTAACCTATTGATAACATAAAATATCAAAATAATCAAGTTTTATTATTTAAACATATTATTTAACCTATCCAATATCTTACATCATCCTTATCAAGCCAATTCAAAAATTTCATATAGTTAGAATTTGAATCATACCATTCATATTTGATTTAAATTGGTAGTGAAATTGATATGATATGTCAATTCATTTAATGACAATGTACATAAACTTGGTAATCTAATCATTATTACTATCAATCACACATGTTAAAATTTACCTAAATATTGATGTAGTTTGTGTGTTGCACAAAATGGAATATATTGTTGTGAGTATAATTATTAGCATTGATATTTTGATTATATGAATAATGATTTTGTGCAATATTACTAAATATTCATTATTTCAAAATGCAAAGTTACTTCGCATGATGTATCGCATATCTTTGTAAACATTGTCACGAGAAAAAGATAATATATAAATACAAAAAACATTTAGATTCAACATTATAGCATATGTAGTCTATAAACAATCAAATTATTTTGAAAATTGTTGATAATTATACAACTCTCAAATGTTTATAAATTTATATCGCACTATTCATAACTTTTCATCTAAGTGTGAATAGATTCAAAATTTACATATTATATTTGAGTATAACATCCCAAAAAAAAACAAGTCATACATCAGATTTTAATTTATGATGTGTATTCTAAAAACATTAAATGAGTTTGATTCACAATTAACTAAGTTATAAATAATTAAATAATTACATACATACATACATGATTTGTAAAGATAAAAAGTAAAATTTAGATTAGAAAACATAGAAGTGAAATAATATACAAAGATAAGTATGTAGACACATTTTTTGAAAATTACTAGTATCATACCATACCAATAGTAACATGTCATGAAACCATGGAGACAAACTTTTACATATAGATTTGAAAAGTAAGCAGCTAGTCACCACTCACTTTTCGCTATTCACCATTCACCCCCAATTTTAAGAGAGATTTGCTTGATGGTACCCATGCGGAAAGTAATTTGCTTGATGGGACCCTTAAGGTTTCATTTTACCCGATGGGAACCCATGAACGGTGCACCGTCACCCATGTTTTAATAACAACAAGAGAGAGTGCAACGAGTCCACCGCAACCGCAGACAGAGTGGACTTCGCACTCCATCACACTCACTTGTTTTTATGTTGTCATTCTGTATCCGGCCACTCTCCAAGGAAACGAGCAAAGAAATGTTCATCCGGAGTTTATTTGTTCGTCACAAATGGGTGATCGCGAGACTTGAGCTCGGAACACGCAGGGTTACAGAAGGAGTGTGCAGTTGAGAGGCAACAGAGAAATCCACGAATCTTTGCGATCGGAAGAATTGAAGCACAACAAATTGCACTTCGAGCAAAATCGATCTTTGTCCCCGTGATAATCCACCAGATTTTATAATCAGGTATTGATCTCTGATTGTAATTCCCGCATTGTAACTAGTAGTAATTGTAGTTACAAGAACTATGTCCGACGGCACACCGTCGTTGGGATCCAATCGGGTAAAACTAATCCTCAGTGGTCCCATCAAACAAATTACTCTCCGCATGGGCCCTATTTTAAACAACATGAACTATGATAGCACCCCATGTTCTTTAAAATTGGGGGTGAGTGGTAACTGGCGGCTCACTTTCCAAAGTGACAATTGGATACATGATATCAATTCTAAGATTATGATCAATTCTAATACTATGTTGCAGACAGTGCAGATTTTTCTAGAAAAAAATAATTGTGAATTGTCATCTTATTGGAATTAGTCTCGATGTATTTAACACCTAAATTTCTGTTTTGATTCTTGTAACCGCGCCCCCTTGGATTTGTACCAGTTGAGAATAATGAAAAAGGACGAAGATTGAAGGATCCTCGTTCATTTCCATGGTTGGTGAATTGCAAATACACTCTGAGTGAAAATATATCACACGAATTAGATGCTCACGGCGACGTCAACAGAACAACAGTGGAATCATGAAAAGTCATGGAGGGCTAGTATATACGAGCCCCAAATTTGCAGCGTAGTACTGTGGGTCCAGGAGGCATCGACCGAGTCACGGAGTGCATCGTCTTTCTACCTTCTGTACTTTTGGAGCAGAGTTTTCCGTTCGAGCTTTGGAAGAATATGTACGAAGCATGTCCGTCCGCTGGTCCTTTTTCGGGTCTGGGTACTGCCACACAATCGACGAGACTCGATGGGACTGAAGTCAGAATAAGTGCATATTCACGAGGAACGTCAACAGAACCCACTGGCGAATGCGAGGAAGAAAACCGTACGTGAAACCTGAGTTCCAAATTGTTATTTTTACAAAATTCTCTCCAATTTCGCAACTGGTAAACGCTCTTCACCGCACGGGAGTTATGCTGACCATTCATCTGGCATGTTGGTCAGATCCAACCCCTCACACCTTCCTTTCAATTCCCCTCCCTACCGAAACATCTCAATCTGCCATTCCCATCACAGCAATCGACGTGTAACTCCATACTCCACCGTAAGTTACTTGCCGGCATCGCAAGATTACCTTCGAATATAGAGAGCGACAGGAATGAAGGAGGAAGTCAACTTACGGGGCAAATTTGTACCAACCAAGTGATGATCAAAGTACAGTATTGTAGAGTATAGACCCAGAGTAGAAGGTCTTAGATCTGGTCGATCACAGTATTTAGAGGTTTCAGATCTGGTCTACCGAAGTATTTAGGACTCGTGGAGTACGGGAGAGGAGACGAACCGCGTAACCAGGGAGTTATAAAAGAAGGCGAGATCGAGGCACTGAGTTACAGCAAAAGAGCGCACTGCCCAGTGCACATGGAGGAGGATAAAGGGCTACAGTTGCGGCATGAATAAGAATGATAACAGAACCGAACCCTCTCCTTCATCGGGAGAATCACTAACAGATCATGGAGAGGACTGGCATTCTCTGAGGAGGACAGACGGATGAGACCAACGCGACAAGAGTCGCTGGATTTCTGAACTCGTGCCTACCCATCACTCTGTGTGGATTTTGGACCATTCTTAGATTCATGTACAGTCTGATCCTCTAACCTTCTAACTGATCTCCTAACGGTTTTCGCCCGAGGAGTTGCGAACTTGTGACATCTCTGGCACAATTCCGATCGGCGACGCGTGGTGGTTGCCCCTGCGTGCAGACTGCGTTTTCTCACAGATGCATCGCTAGGTAGGTGGCCCGTAAACTACCCTACTGAGCTCGTGCGGCAGGATGTGATTGCTCAACGCCTCTACTCCACTTCGCAAGTGACGCCCCGAGCACTTCTGGAGTACTGGGCCTCACTTCTGTGAGGAGTGACTGGCGATCCCAGTCACTTCAAAGAGCAGTTTTGTAACCCTCGACACCGATCCCTGTCATGGAAATTGGAGTCTCGATTCGCTGGACCTCCAGTCGGGTACAAGTCGACCCAGCGTCACCACAGCGGCCATCGTCTTTCCTGGTCATCATCATTGTTAGAAAAAGTCTCCATCATGACGGAGTAGAATTGTTTTCTGATAAACCTGTTTTACCTGTGAAGTACATTCTCACAGAGCAAGTTACGGTGAAGAAGGTTGATATTCCTTCTCCCGTGAATAACAAACGTTTCCTGGGGTGAGTCATAATCAACATCTCGGAGGTATCTTTCGCAAACTGGTTCATTTCCTCATGAGAGGAAGCAGCTCAAGAATGTACAAGGAGTACGTGGTAACATGAGCCGAGATCATCTACAGTACTGTACACCTTTGGACCACCAGTTCGTCCATTTCCGAGCTGAGGCCGAGGTGAACCAACCTTCTTATTTTGGGTGTCTTCAATGTACCTGAACCCGCACGCTTCGGCAGGAAGACAAACTTAAAGACAAATTTGTATCGAGGAACTATTCCGATAAAGTTGGTTGGAAACAGAACAAACACGGACTTAAAGCAATAGTTTACTTCCGATCAGTTCACAGTTTGCCTCTTCGTTTCTTTGAGCCCAGTATACGACAATGAAGATTTCAATCGGCTTGAACCTCTTTATTAAGAATGTGGCTTTAAAGTACCTTGGGAGATAAACATCACTAAATACTGTCCTCTTCGGGTTCAAGGTTCAAACGTGCAAACATCACAAGGATGTCAGATGTAACTAAAGTAGATCTCGATGTTTCCAGAAAACTGGCCACCCATTACGAGCCCGGATCAATTGTTATTATTTCTTCAAGCCTTCTGGAGCAATAGAAGTGATGAGATGTGATTGATGAGAGAGCCTTCTCGCGCCTTCGTGATCCGATCCTAGATATTCAAATCCATACCTTATTGTATGATTGCGAGAGTGGATATTCTGTACAGGACATAGAGGACCCTTCCAAGAGATCGGCAACCAGATTCTATGACCGGAGAGAAAGTTGTGCCGCGTTGTCGTCAGGCACTTGCAACTTTTCGGGAACAAGACAACGTTCAAGTGAAGACTCTGAAACCGAGAGTACAGAAATTGGAGCGTGACAAGTTTTTGAGTGCATGATGCAACCATGTTAGAGGCACGTCTTTACACGGTCACGCTTTTCAGTAAGAACAGACTAGCTGAGAGAGAAATAGTGGGCTAGGACGCCCACATCGATATGAATTACAAAGGACAGAGGGTGGTTTGTACTATATACCTTCGCTTTTCTGTTGTGTGTCCCTCTTTTTGCTCAATGCCGTCGACAGCAGGTGATGGGAGAGAGAGGGTGAAGTACCTCCATCGAGCTCAGGTGATGCACTTTTGAAAGAGTCTCGTCAATAATAGTGAAGATGATATACCAAACTTCGCACACGCGACTCGCCGAGGGCAAGTCGCACACATCCACATCTCATTAGGGTGGTACTATCTTCAAGAGAAAATATCCCGGTGACAGACAAGATGATGGATGGTCCTCATCCCCCACTTAACACAACACTCACATTTTTCAGGATGTTCACCCCCATCTCTAGCCAGTCCTAGTGCCAGGCGACCAACTGACATACAGGAAGGAGCAAGGTACAATGGAATTAGATGTGGACATTAGTTACCACAATCACGTGGACTGGTGCCCCGCTCGCTCGCTCGACGGAATGGGACTTGTCATATCCACATCGCTATCGAATGGCCGACTCGACCAGACTGAACTGTGGTCAAGTACTTTTCACACCGTTGACTGACTTGACCACAATCAAAGCCCTTCGGACCGACCGTACGTAGACCGTACCCCTTGGGCGATTGGAATGCGCCTTCGCCCTTGACATACTACGTCGCCTGAGACTCGCTCTCTCGAAGCCGAAGCCGAAGCCGTCCGTGTCAGTCAGGCATAAAGGTCTCGCCATTCCCTTCATACGGCTTCATGTCACTTTCCATCACTTTTGCGGTCTCTTTCTTTCTTTCCGCTGTTCCATCTTTCTCTCGGCTCGAGTCGTGGCGTCCAAACTTGCGTCGCGCCTTTCGTCACTTCTCAGTGAGGTGAGCTTTGCGGTCTCAATCTGCCGCATTCACATAGAGTGATGAAAATAACGTACCCAGTATTGTAATCACAGCGACGGCCGACCGTCCCTTTCGAAATATTAACATGTGTGAGTAAGCCATCCAGTCCTGGACGTATTTACCCTACAAACTCGACGAATTTGATCCACTCTATGTCAAAGACGGTCCGCTCGAGATGGCCGGGTTCGTGTCTTCTTCCTCGGGCTCGGAGGATGTCAACCGAGCAGTAAATGGGATTTCTACACCGGAGAGATCGCTCCGGCACTGCGTTTCGACTCAGCGTCTTCGATTTCTTAGCTTGAAGGATCCTGTTCCATCCTGCAGCACGAGGTAAGTGGACAAGATCGAGTGACTGGCCAGACGGGGGTCGGAGGGGTGAGCCACCGCCGATCTGGCTGAAAGTCAAATTGGATATCCCAAACTTTTAGTGTTGCAGCCCCTGGCAGGCAAAAGCATCTTGATTAGTGACATCATATTACTATTTAAGCGAGTTGCACTTTCCTGGATACCCATCTCCAGACTCCGCTTTCTGCGATTCCCCATCGTCTAGTGAAATGATACACGGCCGTTCCCTCGCGTCCTCCTCCGGTAACTTCGGCTCTGCTCGCCTGCAACTTGTAGAGGTCGACATTGATTCTCGACCTTGTGGCCTAGGTCGCGTACCATTTTGTCATCCACAAGGTTGGCTTGTTAACGTTATGCGCACCTTTGGACGGGAAGATTATCTCATCCACAAATAACGTTGAGGTAACAAATTTCGGTAGTGATGGATTTCCGGGTTATTTACGCTTGGGCGCCATGACTCAGGTGCATCCTTTGTGGTCAGGTATTGCTCGGGATGCGATAGACTCATTGCACTCGGGGGCCTAACTCCTGTTGCCCTTTCCCCTGGCCGGAGGGTGAGGTCAACAACCTTGCATCTTTAGAGTCTTACGCTAGTTCTCGTGTTCCGATGATAGTACAATCATAAACCTCTGGCTTGTCATGGTTATTCACATAGACCATCTCTCTTTCACCCTCGCTGTAGGCAGGAAAGTGGCACGGAAAGTCGCAAAAGAATCATAGATATACAGACTTGAGAAATGGCCGTCATCATCGATTATATAAAGTGTGCAAACGTTTCTTGCCTTATGGTAGCCTTTCTTGCTACTTACGGCATAGACTGGTAATGGGCTCTGCCGAACAATACCTGGGGAGGCGACTTCTATAATGACGAGGAGAATTCTAGGGTATGTCGAATAGGAATGACAGTGTTGTCTATGGTTGCTAAGGTTTTACTACGTGATCTTGCTCCTGTAAAACAACTGCTACTCCTTCTTTTGTTTAAATTTTTTCCATTCGCCCCGATAACGGGACGCCTCTTTGATCACAGCGAGCACGGCATGGAGCAGTACTGGAACAAAGAAGGGCTGCAAAAGAAGAAATGAGGCAACAAAAAGCACGTTAGGAATGCATCCGAGAACCTTGACAACCAGGAAAAGTGGTTCCATTTGCGAATCTGGCAACTTTTTCAACACGATTCCATACTTCAGAACTGCTTATCTCTATATGATGCTATGCTCTCCAGTTTCTAACACTTTAAAGGCACATCTTCAAAGCATGAAGTCTACGCTAGCACTTCTGCTTTCATGAAAGGCATATATAACAAGATAGAGGATATCATAACTGAGGAACGTCAACAAGGCAAACTACAGCAGTCCTAAAAGAGTATTTTTCTCCCAAATCTTGCAGATGACATAGTTCAAACTACTGCAATATTGACGGGTCCTTACCGTGTAGATAGCAAGATGATGTTCTGTGGGATTGTACAACACAGACATGATAGATGGTTGGAAAAAGGCTGCTTCTGCAAGTGATGCTGCCTTGCTAGCAGATTCTGCACACATCAATTTCAAGAATGAATCACGGCAGCTGCAAGAGGATTAGATTTTCAATTGATTTACAAGAACTGTGCATGTTTAACTTTCTTAAATTGAAATTTGAAACTAGTTTGGAAAGAAATCTTCTTCTCACACTTTTCATTCCCCACTCCAGAGAATGTATCTTCTCAAGACAAATGCAAAAGATGTTGATGGACTGTTATCACACACTAAACAACAAAGATAACGAATCATGCTAGGTATTACACCTTGAATTTTCTTTTGGCACGGTTAACTATAAAAAACTTAGATGGGCTTGGCAGGTGTCAAACTGTCAGTCACAGCAAGATCCGGAAAATTTCAGTTCTCTTCTCCATCTACTGTGAGAAACAAAGTAAACAAACTTGTGCTTGCATGCAGGGTTATAAGGATGTCCCAAGTTAGGCAGTAATAGTTACCTGCTGTGCTCCGATACGCTCCATGCGCTGCATGATCACGAGCAGCAGCTGCTGCCGAGAGAGAATTCTTTACCTAACAAACAAAGCAAGGCATCAAGTCTCTCTCGCATGTATTTGCTACACACCTTCTGTGATCTAAACCCACCATAACAAACTGCTGAGCACGTATTCTGAGAAGACCTAGATTGTAGACTGTAGACAATTGGCTCATGTAAACACAACTTTGATTTTGATGTTATGAAAGCTCAGACACAACCAAAGTTGATTCCTGGATTAAGATGAAGTCCATACTTACAACCAAAAGCAGATGGTAATGATCACCTAAACTAGAAGACTCAAGTGACCTTATTACGTTAAAATTGTTTTAAATTAGGGTGAGGAATGCTTCCCAAGACTTAGACTATCAAAATATTCGGGCTTGAGCCTGAAGCATGGTATCATAGCCGTTTTCATCTGTGGTCTGAGATTCTCTATAGATGAATATTGTAGTTAGGATTTGAATATTTTTCTGTTTTAAGCCTGCCATGTTAGGATGGCAGTATGCATGAGGGTAACAAGCTGGAAGGCGCGAGCAACTCTGGGCTCTGGAGGTCTGATTTGAGGAAGATTCTGCTTGAGAGATACACGTAGGAGGCGGTGATCGGTGAACAGACCAAACCCACTACTCCATACACTCAGAAGATACAAAACCTAAAGAGTGAAGATATTCATGAATAATTTCTTGTACCTGTTTGAACCTCACAAGTGAGGTGATTCCTAAAGTGATGGGGCTGAAGACAAACAAGGAGGTATGGCCAAGTCAAGCAGCGATTTGACAACCAGAGTATCACAAGAACCATGCTGCTCAAGGACGAACCTCACTCACTGCAAGTGGGTGAGGATGGATCTGTGATTGAGGATGTAAATCAAGTAAAAAACTCTATCTATCAGACACTAAAAGGTACTGGAGTATCAATAGAAGACAATGACATACTCTAGATTACCTTGAACAATCTTCATAGTAAGTTCGGGATGTTTGTTTGAAAGTGCATACATTTAAAGAATCAACAATCATGCTGGAAAGTGAACAGTGTTTGCAGAAAAAATTCCTGAACCTTAGTGAGGAGCCTCACTTTAATTCGAATGTGAATGGCAACTTTCCATTCACTTTAACTCAAGCAAGGATTGGTATATGAACCACCAAATCAGTTGTCTTATCTCTTTTCATAGGGGAACATTTTCCCATTTTGCAGTGTACATAGACTCAGGTTGCTCCAATCATATATCTCATAGATTGAGAACCAAGAAAGAGTGAAAATGGTGAAGATTAAAAATGGAGCAAACATCTTGACTTCGTAAATTTGGGCAGCAATTTGAAGATGGACTTCTACCACGGAATAGGTGTCACATCACATGTGCTTCATGTTCTTACTTTCACACCAAACTTGCCATCAATAAGGCAAATATGTGACCAGAAATTAAACAAGTGTTTAACCTGAATTTGAACATTTATACCACATATATACTATTTGAAATGAAAGAAGGCCAGACTTGTAGTCAGAGGATTTCTAGATGCATGGACTGGACTGTGATAAGCGTTTCTCCTGTGGCCAGAAAGAACACTCTCAGGACTCCGTTTGCACTGCGTAGCCATCACGATTGATTACTGCATAAAATGAAGTGCAAAGAAAAGCGTCCTAGATGGTGTGCATTGTGATGGAAGGTCATTAAAAGTATAATTGCAGTTGAACAAGGCATTGTACAGACTGAAGCACGCTCCTAGAGCTTGGTACACAACTATTGATAAACTTTTGTGACCAAAAACCCGAAGAAGTCAAATCCTGAACCAAGCTTGTACATATTTAAGATTGATTTTTTAACTTATTCTTGTAATCTTCTATGATGATGGTGTACTCATCAAAGTAAGTCATCAAAACCTGATTTTGGGTCTAGATCCTAATCTACATAAAGGATTCAAAATTATTGATGAAGGATTCAATACTCTTCTAGGTGTTCAACTTTCGCATCTAGAGAGTGGATATTGCTTACACAACAAAAGTATGTATTATTATAGGAGCTTCTTGCAGGGAGAAGCAAGAAGGAGAGCTCTACAGTTTTGTCCTCAACAGAGACAGAGTACATAGCTCCATGATGATCATTATGTAAACCACTTTGGCTAAGAAGGCTTCTATCTAAGCTTGGTGAAGATAGTGAAACTCTTACAGTAATTTAGTATGATTACCATGTTGTTGCATTGAATTACACATGATCTGTTTTCCATGCTATAACAAAGCATGTAGAAGTGCACTTTCATTGCATTAAACAGAGGATCAACATCAACGAAACACAAGGGAAGTAAGTTGGCAGTGAAGTCTAACCAGCTAAAAATAGTTACCAGGTTATTAAGAGGATAGAGTTTGATAAGTTTAGAGATAATTAGTCAAATCATGTTTACATTTACATGTCCAAAAGAAGTGAAGGAGGCTGCTGAAATTATCGCTTACAACCGGTACAAGTAAGTTACGGTTAACTCAACTAGATTAAATTTTTTAACCTAATGTCGATAATGGTTTAGGATTGTTAGAATTGTTTCCCAAGGCTTTGACCCATTAATATATTTTATGAATCTCAACGTTTGTGGGTTCTGACTTGTGCCTGAAACGGAATTTGGGATTCAAAGAAATGAAAGGAAGCGCAGTACCTGTTCACCGATCTCGTCCATGATTACCATGCTCGAAAGTTTTTGAACCTGGATGAACAATGTGGAGGTATAATTGATATTATTAACATGATTTTATAACACTATTGTCGATACTGAATGCAGCCAAGGGAAACGGAACATCCTTGTGGTAAAAATATCGTAAATTACAACACAAAGCCAGTTCTTACTTACCAGACGAGATAACGACATCAAAGTAGAGGCAGCAGCAGTCATATCACTGATAGCTCGTCTTCTTAGTAACAAGTCTAGTTCCCTAACCACAACACACGTTGAGGTCAGGTTGGAATGACAATGGCCAGGACTCAAAGATCCATGGATCTTATCCATGATTCTAGCATAATTCAGCGACTTCTGGAAACCAGCAAATCAGCATCCACTACAAACCTCCTATGGGTAAAGGTACGTACCATTCAGCAAATCCTGTCCTAGCTGGTGACAAACTGAAATACCCAGTTTCCGGATCATCTGAAAGAATAGGAGGCAGACCAAAAAGTGTGCGCAGCTGTGCGACAATTACCCCTGCTATTGACTCAAATTCCTGTGAAGTGCAAAAGGAAAGTCAGTTATTTGATATCTCTTATTTTCGAGAAAGTACTACGGATATTATAGAAGGAGAAACACAAATAAAAGTCAAATTTAAAGAGATCAACCTTGGGTGTTATTCGATGGAAAGATGAATGAGAGTCACTAGAGATAGTTGAAAGATTGGTGGGATTGTAAACAACCACGCCTCCCCAACCCTGTTAAATTTTTTTTTCATGAAAACCAACAGTTGATGAGAGCCATGTCATATATGCAAATTGTCTGTCAACCTGTTTTACTGTATTCCACAACCAAGGTTGAGAAGTACACAGGATTGGCACTTTTCACTCAGTACACTACATAGGCAGGTTGTCCTTCAGACTTAAAAGTCTGAAATGACCACTACCATAGAACACAACTAGGGTGCAATGTCAAAGATAATAAAGCAGTCCTTGTATCTTGCTCCAACCGCTTGAATAAACACAGCTTGATTGGAAATTGAATACATGTTAGGCAGCATTGAAGAGAAAACTGCTTAAGATGGACTGAGATCACAAACTCGCAAATTACAGGACAAATAAGACATGCAACTCAACCATCTCTGTTTCGAAGAAATTTTACTTGAACTCACAGGAGAAGTAAACCCATCTGTTGAAGACAGCTGATCATTCTTCCGCAGAAAATGAAGAGGGTATTCTCCGCCTCCCGGAACATAACTATAAACAAATTGTTTATAATTGGCTTCAGTATTGGCGGTTTAAGCGTGTTAGAATGACATCTTCAGGATAACTTGGAAATAAGCCAGCGTCTCTGATTGCCTAAACTAGACGGATGTTTCGATCGTCTCTGATTGCCTACACTAGAGGGATGTTTCGATCGTTGAAGCTAAGCAAAACAACTTGATCTTCTCATACTGTTTCGCAAATGGCACATTAATCAACAATTTGTACAATTGCAAAGTATCCGGTGACATGATTTTGTTGAAGATGCAGGGATACTCAAAAAACAAAACTTTCATACATGGCGAAGTGCAGAAGCTTCGATCGTCCAGCAGCAGCGCTTGATGTATCTAGATGCCACTCATTTGAGTTGACCTGTAATAGTACGATTGATACAATGAATAAAATTCTTCATGTAGAAGGCGATAACGCTGTTATCAGTAGCGAGATCGAAGGATCAGAAAACTGACTGAACCATGAAAAGAAAAATCCAGATTTGTGAGAAACCTTACGATGTAAATCCTGAACATTGAGAGCATCTTCAAGACTAAGCACGAGGACTCGACAACAGATGAAACCTTTTGAGAACTTACAAAGAAAGGTAGCTGCTTGACAGCGACTACGTGTGCATTAAGAGATGCATCCCACCGTGACTGGACTGCTTTCGGGGTGTAGTACAACACCTGAATGAACACAAATGTTGTATCTTTCAATAGATGCAAAATGTCATGCAGCTAGACCGTGATGACAAAGATCCACAATGAACGATTTCAAAGCCACCTTTGCTTGGAAATGCACAAAGGGTCCCTCATGAAAGCTTCATAAAGCATTTCTCATCTGCTGCAGACAGTAACTGCTGACTGAGCGAAGGTACAATATACATTCGGAAAGGATGCAAGTTTATCTGAATCATTTTAAAAGTAAATAAGCAGACAGTATCTTAATTTTCAATAAGCTATTGAAGCACATGAAATACACGACGGAGCAATTTACTAATCAGAGGAATGGTCTGACATGCAAGTTAAGAAATGCCCTCTAAACATGCGAAAATGTCACACCATGCTCATCCTTCGAGCATGACGCCTACTGCATTCCGATGATTTGCATGAGTTTGTACATTACTCAGAAATATAACAGTTTAGTGTATCTGTCATATCAAAAGTAATTATTTAGAAATAAAAATAAAAATCTTTATGCATTTGTTGGATAACAAACCTGACTCTCGATCGTCAGTCGCGCAATTCCACTTAGGGCCTCCACAACTGGCTGAAAAAACTGCCTCTTCAATTCCTCAAAATCCCTTCAGTTCCCAACCACAAGGTTCAATCTTCCACATCTTAAACTTGTGTCCGTTCATCTGACGAATATATGCGCTGTGAAGGCCTAAAGATGGCTTTAAGTGATAGAGAACGAGCTTACCAGTCAAAAATCCAGGTATCAGGATCAGCATTTAGGAGACTGAAGGATAGAATTGCTTCTCCCTCTGCCGAGAGTGGCAAATTCCTCGCTTTACTTCTTCCTGAAGCGCTTCTTGAACCTCTAAGAAACGTGAGGGCGACATCTCCGATTCTTGGCACCACCTCGGACTCGACAGTAGAGGAGTTAAAATCACCAATAATCCAAGCGTGGCGATACTTTCCCACAACTGTACTCCATCCAGTTTTAGACTTGCATATACTACTCTGCTCGTTGGTACAACCGCCTGTACTGACATCATCTTTACTGAAAGAGTCGAGGCTCTCGATCTGACTCTTCCGAAGAACAACGACGGTATAAAGACCACCTTCATCCTGTACTGTGGACTCATTCTCTTCTTTATTGGCATAATTCCACAGCACATTATCCAAAATATCATCTGAGAGTTGAGCTGAATTGAAAAACCCATACTTCACCAGACCACAGGGCCAGGTAGGTGAGTCCAGAGTCTGCCCTGATGTCAGACATACGTTCTCTGTATCGTATTTCACCTGTATATTGAATCCATTTTGACAGGTTTCGTGATCTGAGGAGTTTCCGCCCATCAAACTCTGTACATGCAGAATGAGCTGTGAAGCTACAGAGTCTAGCTCGGGCTTGGTAAGGAACTCATCCTTACTGGCAAATATGACGTTCAATCGGCAGGGGAGAAGCAAAGTGTTTTCTGAAGCCCAGCTTCCCAGCGCATCAACATCCTTGAAAGGAAGAGGTGCTCTGTAGACTTGTGTGGAGTTGAGCCAAAGTGGGATCCCTACAGCATAGAATGTGAGTTCGTGAACGACAAACCAAATTTTTTAAACATTTCAACTCGCGTCAATTCTGCAGATACTGGAAAATCCCACAATGCATCATCGGGAACTAAATCACAGGACCGGGAAAATTCCCCTAAATACGATCAACTAACTGATCATCACTGAATCACAAAAAGGGCCGAAGAGTACCGAAGAAGAACGGTAAGAGAGTGGTGATCGTTATCAACAGGCGCTTGATGCCGGGCTTGGTAGTTCTCGTATCCGCCATATTGACGCAAAAATCAGCACCTGCTTACTACTTCATGATCCTTCGACTTCTTCCGGCGAGGAGAACACATGAGCTCAAATTGCACCCAAATGAATGGCTACGATGCGTAGACGCAGTGAAATCTGCACGATGCCTCGAGGTGGATGAACACCTTCTCATGTCCTCGTTCAAACAGGCACATCAAATTTGAAAATTCTCGATCTCCATTATTTGCCGGCAGTGTGGCATTCGCGCTTGGAGCTTAGTGTTCCTTAGGTCCCGCTTCCGGTCTTCACTGACTTGCTACAGAAGGTGCTCCTTCAGGTGCCGGTAGTTCATCTGATTTTCATCCGGTCGTTGTTTGCGAACATTGTTACGCGACGCTCGTTTCAACGCCTCCGCCTTCAAACATGTGGGCACATTCATCAAGCCCTCTTGTTGCATGAAATACATTTATTGGAACATATTTCTCGTTGTGATACTATGGACCCCTGGTTGGTAACCGGTTTGTTTTCTTCCCCGTGTTTTTTTGCTATTAACTTGGCCCACATCTACTCTTTGCCTATTTTACCACGATGCCATTCCCACAACATTTTTCCTTTTTATCACAGATTTGAGAGTAGATAGACCCCAAGTAGTATAGCAGAAATGATGGATCTTCTTATCTTTTTTTTATGGGATGAATCCAAAGGGAGCAAGATAGGGCTACGCCCGATTTCATAATCGTATTAAATGTGTACTAACACATCTGAGATTTATAAATCTAATTATATGCAAAATATTGATTATTTTAAGAATTATCACTTAACTTGATTAATCTCCTTTGGGTTGAAACCAGTAGTATTATGAAGAGAATAATGATTCCATGCTATCTAACATAGCTCAAGACCAATTACAGGTTATTTATTGGATTCTTAATCTCGTGGGTAGCTATACTGTAACATTACAGTAGGCAAATATTCTCATGATCCCATGCCGGAAATAGGTACACACTAGAAGGTGAGTAACGACCATACGTAAGAGAGTACCAAGCCAAATGATCGGTATTGAACGAATTCTGATAGGCACACGAGGGTCCATTTGCACACTCTAGAACATGCATGTCATAAATGTAAGACCATGACCTGATTGACAGATTGAACCTGGCTTCAAGAGTTTGAGTGTGGGAAGAAGAGGAGATGAAATGAGGCGAAGAGTGTTAATGAAAAGAGAAAAGACCATCTTCTGTTCAAGGAGTGGAAAGATTGCTGCACTAGAGTGAAAATTTAGTTTGTTATTGTAGCGTCATACCGAACATGAAATCTGTTGGGTGTTTTGAAGTTCGAGCATGAATAAAAAGTCTAACCTCAGCACCTCGTACACTTGAAGATTGTGAATATGATTGTGAATATGACTCACAAGTGCGCCTGTTCTGAGGCAGCACTTGAATCAATGCTAGTCATTCCAGAGGCTGCGTGGAGTCCACCAGCACATTGAGGTTACCAGAAACTTTCGCTGTCATGTTATAGACAACCGGAGCTGCATTCCATCGGGAAATGGTGATGGTATTCTGTAATGCCGCTCGTTTTACCGCTCATATCTACCAGCTCTGCGTTTGTGTTTCATTGTCTCATTGAAATACCAATAATGAACGGAAGTAAAACAACATTTTGCAAGTTGCAGTATGATATCCATCTTGTTAACGAGAGGGAAGGTGACTCCATTCTGAACAATGAACACTCTGGAGTGTATGTTCGAGAATGATGGATATGAGGTCTGCTTTTGAGTCGGTTCCTCCCGGTCCACTATCTTTTAGAGCTCAGTAGTTCAATATGTCACAGAAGATTACGAGGGCATGGTTTCAGTTCCCTTAAATCTTAGAGCAACTTCGCAAACGATAAAGTGATGTGCCGTTTGGTGTCCCGACCTTCTCCACTGTATTCGTTTGCCGACATCATTTCGATTTTCAAGGCTCGGTCACTGCGCAGTCTGATGTGGATCTCACTTGACCCGTTCCTGTGGGTTCCTGTGGGTGCCGAAATCGTCGTACGAAAGGCTTTCAAGTAAAGCTTCTTTCAACTGCTATCGGAAAAATGGTAATGGTGTTCTGTAATGCGGCTCGTTTTCTTGCGTGAGTCGAGCGGAATGGACGAAAACTGGAAGCTATCTACCAGCTCTGGGTTTGTGTTTCATTACTGAAGTGTCTCATTGAAAATCTCATGATCCTTCAATCCATATCACACTCCACTCCACCATGAACTGCGAATCGGGTGTACTACACCCATATGAAAACATGACGAGGACTGAGACTGGGAGCCATATGATTCCAGACTGAAACTTCATGGCGTAAGAAATGCTTCCTCAATGCGACGAGCCGGACTCGTCCACTTTTTTCCTTCTTTTCCAATGACAGATTTCTATCTTGAGGGTCACGCTTCAGCTGCTGCTGCTGTGATAGCTAAGCTGGTCGAGACCAACCAAGACCACAGAATCGAGCAGATGGTGTCTACACAGCTGGAGGTCTCTCGTGCAGCCCATGTTCACTGGATAATGCAGTCGGGTGTTCACTATATTAAAGGCAGATATGATGTGTGTCCACAAGTGCTCCATTTGCCCCTGGACCGAGAGAGACGTCCACAAACTGCTGCACTCTACGGGACTCGCCATGCATGTGACCAACAGCCACCATATCTACTTTACGAGGCTTCTCTCACTCACCAGGGATCATGGAAATGTACAACGTCGCATGCTTTTGCTTGGTGCGAACATGCTCTACGTCGTTGGATACGAACTGCGTGGTGAATACACATGCAAGTTCACATGTCAGCCGGAATCTATCTGGTTCCAGCGTTGTCCTAGATTAGGACTAGAACATTCTCGAATTTCCTTACTGAGAACATTCCTCGGTGTCACTTTCGTGAAGAGCCTACGTGACTATTGACTGGTCCTTGCTTACATTGTGGGTCCACGTCCGGAACATCATCCGACCTTCTTCTCCTCGTCCTATTTCTGCCTTCGGTAGGAGTTTAGATATGCTCAGAAAGCAAGGAGTGATTATTCAGGTAGATACATTAACTTGATGTCTGTTTATTGACTCTTCTATTAAGATCGCCACATCATTCCAGCCAGTCAGAAAAGTTCATCCTTTCATAGTGCTTTCGTGAATCCATAGCTTTCGCGTTCATATGAAACCTAAAACTTAGCTCCTTATTATAGTGAGGTATTTCATGAATTCTAAACTTTAAGATGGTTGTCGAATTGAGACCAAATACAAAAAAATAAAAATAAAAAATAAACAGAAAATTAGCTTGGATTAGAGCTACTCTAAATGATTTAGAAATTTGGAGACGTTATTATTTATTTTCTTCTTTTTTATCTTTTACCAATCTTTTGGTTATGCCATTACTACGCAATTTATTTTGGTCACAATAAAAAAAAGCCAACAAATATGAGATTTTATCTTATTGGTCTTCCTTTCTTTATCTTATTAAAATCTCGAAATGTTTGCATTTCGGCTAGAGTGAAATGAGATATTAAATAAAAGCGGTATATTGGACAGTCTGTCCCAGGATGTTGAACTCCTGTCAGAGAGACTTGGATCAAGAAATAAATTCTTTTTCCACCGTTGGAGGCAGTCACGATGGACTTTTGAAGGAAGTGTAATCTTTCTCGGATGATTGAATTTTTCACCAATTATAGAAGAAAGATGTCTTAAGTAATGAATTATTTATGAAAAGAAAGATGCATATTATCATTTAGGTGTATATGTTTAAAGCACGAAGGCCTTGTCTATTCTGACTTAATGAGAATGGATGGAGAAGAAAATTTTCTTCGGCTCCACTTTGCAACTAGCACGTGCACAGTTATATATATATATATATATATATATATATAGCTTTGAATCTAGCGTTTGGATACATCAAGTTATGTGTTTGTATTGCATTCCAGGATATTTTATTAAAATGATCGATGAGAAGTACATGTCACAGACCATTTACTTATTCTGCATCTCAAATGACCTTTTCTTCTTGGTTATTGTCTAATCAACTCAGCGATAAAGTTTACAAAAATATAAAAAAATAAAAACTTAGATTTTTGGCTAGAAGCTAAAATCTCCAAATTTAAATTGTGAACCATGTCAACATCAGAATGATGTACCTGAGTTGAGACAGTATAGCCAAATTTAACATCAGCTTCCAAATTCAAGTACGGTTACAAAGTTTTATGATTATGTAATTTTTCCTCGACCGGGGATCTCGTTGCGGGATAAGAATGTGTTGTGACTGGAATAGATGCTGTGACTTTAGATAATATCAGAGATTTTTGCAAACACGATGCAGTGATATTTGCATATAAAAATGTATGTTTATTGATGCAGAGGGCATCAGCATATAGCCATGTTTGAATTTAGCACTTAAAAACTTCTTCAGACCTATGCCATCACTTGCGCATGATTCAAACAGATCCTATAGAATAAAGTCTTAAACTTGTACATGGTTAGGTGCTATAATGGAAAAATATACCTGTTAATAGCCAAAAGATAAATCTTGCATTGAATGTTAACAAGGTGATCACATCGGGCTTCCTTGAAGAAGACCAGAATCTCAAAGGACTTGAACTGTTCCATACCTTGCTATCACTAGCAATAGCGATCAATCAAATCTACGCAAGAAGTGCTACGATTTGTTAAGTTGAGAAGCAACAATTCCTCGCAGAAAATCCACAAGAAATGCCCAACGAGTCTTTGAGCCTTGGACTTGACACAAATGAGAGGATTTGATACATGATATCATACATCGGTACACATTGAAATTTGTTGTCTTACACTCTAAAATCGTCTCGGTGCATTCACCGCAGCCCCATGTTGATTATCTATATTTGCCCTCTATAGTACAGTATAAGGATATACCTGTACATCTATTACTATGCACACCTTAGAGCTCCGCACAGAATTAGTGTTTTCGTGATTGTGAGTAATGAACATTTCAACGTTGAGTGGCATATCCTCCATTTCTTCCACGATGACGTGTGCAAAGCAATTCTGGTTTCATAAACTGCGAAAGAGAAAAGCACATAAACAGACACGACACCAACTTTTCTCTTCTTTGAAGGATAAGAAAGCACCACATCATCCACTATCTGTCTGTCCTCCCTAGACATTTGCACTCGTCCTAGATGTGAGGGTATACCATCGTCTTTCCAAATCCCATTACCGTTTTCACGAGCAGTGAATGAACGAGTTCGTTTGTAAAAGTTATGTTGCCTTTAGAAATGCAATGAGCTGAGTGCGATCCATATGCATATATGCCTTGGTTACACCATATGTCGAATCAAACATTTGGAGTAAGGGTATCTTTGATTAAATATCGAATGTGATGCGAGATCAAAGATCAACGATTTAATAAAATATCTCACATGCATCCTTAATCCTCAGCCTTTTCTGGAGCAATTGCTTCGAAGAGATGAAAACGAAATCAAAGCTCATGGAAGTTATCTTATGTAAGATTGACCCAGAAATTGTGTCCTGAGAAGGGGGAGCATTATCAACTGAAACTGCATGTCTCCCTGTCCTAGCCGAAACAGAGCTGAATCCACAATGACCAACACTTGAAATGGTCTCTTGTACAGAGACCACGTCAACACATAACAGCCCCACTTTATGCTTCTGTCCTTGTCGCCCTGGATGTCCGTTGTGATGTGTTCAACAGGTTCTTACCTTCTGCCACTCAACATGTGTCAGTCTCTGAAGCTGAGTCTGAGAATGAATCATGAAGCGTTCTAGCCCTAGATTTGCGTCGTAGGCAATCACCACAGTGAGGTTAGTTTGGCTCTTCGTATGATCACCAGGCTGATTACTTCAACATTGTACTTTGTACTTGGTTGATCGAGTAGGCAAAGGCCTAGAAAGAAGGAATCTCATTTTCTAGAGTAGAACACTTTTCAATCCGTTTGGCTATATATCACTTGGTACCCCATGAGAAGAACACTTTCACCACATAGCTCGATTATCCATGACGTCAGAGGGTTTCTACATCGGGAGATCTTTTCGACTTTTCCGTTGGTTGTCCTCGTCCTCTTGTCCATATACCTGCTATCTCTTCCTGGTCATTTAAACTTCCATTCTCGGATAGCATGCGAGAGATCATAAAACTTCTCGAGGCAATGTAGGATGTCTCCATTTTACTCTTCTGAAGATTATGTCAGAAAACTTCGCTGGCAGGCAAAGGTAACCAAGTTTCAAGAGTTACGTGACAACATCCCATGAGATATGTAAAAGGTGCCCTGTACATTTTATGTTATTGTAGACTCCAAGGACAATATACCAGTCCGGAAAAGAATTTGCTCACGCTTCTCATTTGGCTATCATGAATACTGATTTTGGACTCGATTTACACCAATAGTCAGGAGTATTAAATATTCGGAGCTCCCCTGCAAAATTTCAAAAAAATGACATGGGTATGGAAGGCAATGTCACGAGAGCTTTCTAGATTCAGTCCCGTAGAGTTTCTTCTGCTTGACTTCGAGTCACTAGAACGACCAATATTCGAATCGAGGATAGATGGGTTCTAAAATCCAAACACGCGGGGGATATCTCCACGTCCTCTACTCATTTGCCTATCAGGCAGGCGCATAAGGTAACAGAAGATCGAAGCCTAATAATAAAATAGAAACAAATCTGGGTCACTTGATAATCGTGAAAGCTTTGCAACCATAGTCGCCCAAACGAGTCACGTCCGACTCGACGAAGGAAGTTGGAATTCTCCCGAGTCTTAGAGAGATGGCGTCTTCTGCTGGCGTAGACTTGCCGACGGACGGCGTGACGTCAGTAGACGGAAACCACAGTTCCAGAAATTACGAACGCCTAATTTGACCAACGGAGCGTAGACCAGGTGAGCCACGGAGCAAAGAACGACCGCTCGGTTCTAGGTCCTTTTCCCGGGGACAAGTGGCAAGCGGAGAGTGGCCCGAATGCGTGGCATTTCCTACCGACGTGGACGGACCGAGGGGAGGGCGTCAGCGGCCACAAGTCCGGCTCGGGGCGCCGGAAGGAGGAGCACGAGCAGGAGGCTCCGTCGTGATCCAGCCACATCCGTCGGGAATGCGCCACGAAAGGCGACCGCACAGTGGGGACATGCGTGGCCGGACCACGGTGGCGGCACCCGAGCCTGCGGTTCCGGTCCTACTCAGCGTCGGGGTTCGAGTAGGACAGAGTAAAGGAGAGGGCTGTTTTTTCGAGAGCCGAGCGCATGACTTCGTTCATTGGTTGGTCGGGGGAAGCGGCACGGAAGGCAGCGAGAAAGTCCGAGAGAAACTGTCGGCCTCGGCCCTCGGCCCTCGGCGCATGAGCAGACCGTGAAGTGGAGGCGCTTTCCGAGCGCACGTATGAGGTTCCGGTCGTCTGACCGGGCGACGGGCGACGGGGTCGGCCTGCGGGTGAGGCGAGTGAGGTGAACGACGAGGGAGGGACGGGGAAGGGGAAGGCGAAGGGCGAGGAGGCGCCGTGCAGTGCCAGTGGCAGAGATTGTGGAGTGTGGAGTGTGGAGCTGATCGATTCCTCGAGTGTGGTGAGCGCGCTCGAGAGCGAGCTTGCTGTGTCGAAGATTTGTGCACAAGGCCGGGACACGGGGTTTACGTGGGAGTGCGCTGGGTTGCCTTCTATGGCTGTGGAGTGACAATTCTTTGTTGGGAATTCGCGCGGTGGCCGAGAGGGAGGTTTAGAGAGTAGAACGCAATGGCGATCAGCATGGCGGCTCGAGTGCTAGTGCCCGTGGGAGCATCCAATGCGTTGATCTCGGTAAAGAATACGGCCGCGGCTGCAGTCGACGCCGTGGAGTTTGGCGCGATGTTTTCGAGAGGAGCTGCTGCTGTTCCTTTTAGTTCGTCATCGTCTTTGCGTAGAAAGAGTGCGTTTTTAGGATGCGAGGTGAAACTGTCGTCTGTTGGAGCTGTAAATGTCAGCCACCAAAGGGCGGTGCAGGCCGGGAAAGTGACCGCCTCTGCGTCTGAGATGTTGAGACCTAACGTAGCTAAGGAGAATGTAAGTAATCTTGCGATTTTCATTCAATCAGATGCACGGAACCCAGATCTGCAACTGAGCTGCGCCTTACTGCCTGAAGGAATCGCTTTCTGCTTTTGGAGTCAGAGACAAAATTTCAGGGTCTAGTGGTATTTGAATTTTTACGGGAAAGATCGAAGATTGGTAGCTAGAAGACACCCGAAATTAATTTTCAGCTCTCCATGATGTCGTTTTTTGGGGTTTTTGCTCTGGGCTTGAAGATTCTGCACACATAAACCTCTAATTTTTGTTGTGTTAGCTGTCGATTGATTTTGCTTTGTAAAGTTAGGATTTGCGACCCGCTGAAATGTAGACATTGATTGTGTCTGTTTTTTTTGGTTAACTCATTTCGCTTCAATGTTCATGGTTTTTTTTGCAGGGCAAACCTGATCTGAGTGTGATTGACGATGAACCAGCCGCTTGCACAGAGGGTTATTTCACCAGTGATGTGGAGGGCGACCCAGATCGTCCAACTGAGGGTTTATCGTCAATTATGGAGGCCATAGAGGCTATTAAACAAGGAAAGGTGCGTTTTCTTTTCAGCTTGATCCTTGACATAATGTTTAATAAACGCTGAAGAATCGGTGGCTCGAAATTGAAAATAGGAATCCAATTTCTTCCGTAGCCTGTCCGAATTCGGTGTAGATTAAGGGCCTTCAGGCCCTTAATCTACAGGATCACTTTGCAAGTAGGAACTGCAAAGTGTATGGAATGCGTCGCTTGCTTAACTGAGGATTTCAGTCCTGAGACTTCAAGTGCAGAATGTCAGTAGCGTTGATTGTTGCGCGAATTGAGTGTTTGATTTTCTGAAATTCATTGCCGATGTTTCTGTTGCCCTGATTTCTTTGTGCAGTTTGTCGTGGTAGTCGACGATGAAGACAGGGAAAACGAAGGTGATTTAATTATGGCAGGTTCTTTGATGACGCCGGAAGCCATGACTTTCATGGTGAATTATTGTACGGGAATAGTCTGCGTGGGTATGCCTGGAGAGGCACTTGATCGTCTAGACCTTCCTCTGATGGTGCGAAGCCAAGACAACGAAGAGGCGATGTTGACTGCATTCACCGTATCAGTGGTAAGCTAATTGCATGTTCCTTCTAAACATTAATCAATCAAAATTTAATCAAATACTGAATTTTCTTGAAGAAACACGTGAAGGGGGTTGAAAGGCTTTAGGATTCTTGGTGAAATAGAACTGCCTATCAAGGTCTGCATGTAGAGAAGGGCGTGACTCTCATTCCATGAATTGTATCCAACTGGCAGGATGCGAAAGTAGGAACAACGACAGGGGTTTCGGCGATGGATAGGACGGCAACTGTCTTGGCCCTCGCTTCACCAGACACGAAACCAGCAGACTTAAAACGTCCCGGTCATATTTTCCCCTTGCGTGGGCGAAAAGGCGGGGTACTGAAGAGGGCTGGTCACACCGAAGCTGCTATAGACTTGTGCGAATTGTCTGGACTACCACCTGCTGGTGTTCTTTGTGAACTTGTCAACCCAGGTGACGGAACGATGTCCCGGGTGCCTGAACTCAAGAAATTTGCTGCCAAACATAACCTACCTATTGTCTCGATCGCCGATCTTGTCAGGTACTTTCACTTGGACTTGAGGATATTCTTCACTCTTCATGGTCCTTCCAACCAGCTGAATGTCTAGTTCGAAAGCTGATCTAACGATGTCGTATTAGTGCGGAAAGAACATGAGGAGGATGGAGGGTCATCGAAGTTTTTTAATATGTCAGTCACCATCCCCGTTCAGTAGATTCAGGTTCTTGAGCCAAGTCAGCATGTTTATCGCTTTTACAATGTTGTGAGTTTTACAGAGTTCTAGTAGAGGAGTATTACATGCGGACGCATTTGACACGCGTTTTACTCTGCAGGTACAAGCGGAAACGGGACAAATTGATCGTGCGAACTGCAGTGGCAAGGCTCCCCACCAAATGGGGTGCTTTCCAGGCCTATAGCTACACTTCTCAGTTAGATGGAATTGAACACGTAGCTATGGTCAAGGTACAATATTTCCAACCCTTCAATGTGTTAATTAACTAGCTATGTCACTTATTATTCCCGTCCATTTTGTTATACACTTGGCCCCCGTTCAGTTATAGGACTGTACCTCAGGGATTTATTCCCGATATTCGACGACACTCTTATTTGCAGTTGATGCTCCACCTTTTTCTAGACATATTCTTTTCTTGAACACTACTCTTCCTGCTCATTTGCTATATGCCCACTCTGATCTAGTAATGAGTCGCATAGTTTGGTCTTACCTGGAACTGGATGTCACGTCAACTATGATCACTCATGGTCAACGCAAACAGTGGTTGTTCACCCCTTTGTCTGTTGATGTGATAATTTCTTGTCTTTCTGCGAGCTACCCTTGTGGAGCAGCTGTTCTTTATCGGGGTACGAGTTTATAAGTACATAGTCAAACGGCTAGAACATTTAGAACTCTCAATTACCCACCTATGTGGACAGTGTAGGGAGTTTCTAGGTTATTGAGAAATATGGGGCACGAGAAGCACCCATTTGTAGGTGCGAAGTGTCTGTCTGCTTTGTAGTTATTGTTTGAGCGAGCTTGCCAGATGTCCTTGTACTTGATACTATCAGGTCAGGTGGAAGTACTGACTCAACATTTGAATCCGTAAATTTAGATGGCTGGACGTAATTTTAGCCGCAACCTTGTCGTAGAGGGCGATGTTGTGACTGTCGAATGATATGTCAATTGGCATATAAAGCAAGAAGTGTTGAATGGCTCGGTGCTGACTTGTGCTTTTGGTGTGCAGGGTGATATTGGGGACGGACTAGATGTGCTTGTGAGGGTGCATTCAGAGTGTTTGACTGGAGACATCTTTGGATCAGCTCGTTGTGATTGTGGCAACCAGCTCGAAGAAGCCATGCGGAACATCGAGCGAGAGGGAAGAGGAGTTTTAGTTTACCTGCGCGGTCATGAGGGAAGAGGTATTGGATTGGGCCACAAATTACAAGCCTACAATCTGCAAGATGCCGGTCGGGATACTGTCGAAGCTAACCAGGATCTAGGTCTACCTGTTGATTCCCGAGAATACGGAATTGGTGCACAGGTATTTTACATTTGAAACTTTTAATGGTTTTGGCATACTTGTCCAACTCGACTACCTGCATTATCCGTGGCAAATCTTGGTGACTGGTCCTTCTCCCACTCATGAAGGTTCTGATAAGTTTGTTTTCAATGGTCTGCAGATGCTCAGAGATGTTGGAGTGAGAACAATGAAGTTGATGACAAACAACCCATCGAAATTTATGGGTTTAAAAGGATACGGATTGTCCATCAACCGAAGGGTACCGGTCCTATCTCTCATCACGAAAGAAAATAAACGATACCTTGAGACAAAACAGTCGAAGATGGGACATGTTTATGCCTCAGACCTTCCGGGACAGAACTTAGCCGATAATATTAGTCCCGCAAATGCAGAAATTTCCCAATAGATTCAGTGAGGGTTTCTAACACGAAACCGATTCAAAGTAGAGTAAAGTTGTTCGAGCTAACTGATCAAATGTTTTCAACATTCTTTGACTTGAGTTTGATCCAGCTGTGGCAAGGACGCGGTAAATCTTAGCGACTTCAAACACGACTGGCCTGATCCCTCAAGTATGATTCTTCATTTAGAATCACAGAATTTTTGATGTGGGTACTCACGTGAAGACCGTCATGTGCCCTCCAATGCCTGACCTGGCCACACGATTTAGTTAGTACATTGTGAACGGCAGGCACCTTACTCTGTAACCATAATCTCCTTCCTGTTATTCTTAGCTTCAACATTCTGTAGGTGACTGCAACAGTTCACTCCTCCAATTGTCAACTGAACGCAGTCGCGAAAATGAGTCGCTGGATGTATCCATCCAAGGGGAAGACCACTGTAGAATACAGTCTGCATTTTTTTTTATCAATAAAAAAGATGTCTCGCATACTTGGATCATGTTGGAGTGGATCGTAACTACAATCCTGTTGGAGATAATTGTTGTTTATATTATGTGGGGTTAAGTTACATATCTCTACTTTGGGAGAGTGTATCATCTTTCCATTTTTTCTCTAGGATTCGCACCTCCCAGGCAATATCCTGGAAGGGTTTGTCTGCACGTTGTGTTAATGTATTTATTTACAGGATCGTGGAAAGTCCTCTGGCAATGAATACCTCTAATCGAGTAGCTTTCGGACAAATTTTTTCTTAGAGAGTGTGGAGATGGTGGAGTATATTACAAGCACGAAGTGAAACAGAGAAAGTTCGTAAGAACACATCGTGGTAATATCTCTATATGGAAAGCTCTTCCATGGGGTAATTCAATCGTGAAGGCGATTTCATGGTTAACGACAGTCACATACTGTGCTCTTCGTATTTACACAAATGCTTAGATTTCCACCTTGGAGATCCTCATCCTACAAAACTGCCGCAAGTAAGCTTCTGCAGACAATTAACAGAAGGGGTCTTTGGACTTAAAGAGGAAAGGTCTTCTCGCAAAAGTCGACGTTATTCTAATTTTCCAAACAGGTCAAGATGATGCGTGCAAGTGGGTTAGAATTTTAGAAGGAATGTGATAGAAATGGTTTTATTTCCGAAGTGTGGTCCGATGAAGTCAACGTCTACTGTGAAAACTAGCGAGTTTTCAATGAAGGTGAATTATGTGAGTACAAGAGAATACCGGTCAGGCTACTCTAGATAATACTATCAATTAACCATGAAAACGGAAGTTCGTGGTTTGAGTACATCACAGCTACAACGCTCACCATGGAAGACAAACATATTCCTCACGGAAATTTTTTCCAAATGTGCACCAATCAGTTGCGAAGGAAAAGGATGATCAACGCATGAGATGTGAAAAGCTGAAAAGGACAGCATAAAGCGAAGACTACTGCCAGGCAGTGGGGAGTGGGCCCACACCTCGGTTGGATGAGGTTATATAGCGCAGTGCTGCTGACAGGTCTACAGGAGTCAGTGACCACAGGAAGAACCTGCGAGTTCCGAAGGTGCAAGAGAAGATAGACAAGAAATGTCTGGATTCACGAAAGAAGAGTAGAACAAAGAAACGCCATTCCAGTGATCCTATTGACGCACAACTGTTGAGCAAAAGTGATGAAGGCTCGCTTGAAATGGAAAGGCTGGACCAGATGTTGCATTGTTTAGGAACTTCGTAGCTTTGAATTCGAATTCCATGGCATCGCATGGAGGTCCAGCTTGGATTGGAGCTGTGGTGTCAGTGGCTGTGTTGTTCGTCCCCCTGGCTTTCCCATCGCTCACACGTACCGCGAGAAAAATTCTTGTGAGCTATCTCAGTTATCACAATGACTTCCATTCTTGTCTCTTTGAGTTCCAGCTCAATGTCAATAGAAGCAAGCGACAATGTGCAAGTTCCTGAATTGTGTACAGTGATGGTGTCTCAATTATGTTTTTGACTTTCGACGCCATTGTTTTAGGACTCTCTGTATGTAGCTAGCTATGTATGTATGTCGCCCTTCAATTCTAGTTCACGAAACTGGATGTCCTGCCGTAATTCTGTCTTTGGACACGATAGCCTCAATTCTGCCTTCGAGTATCGAGGAAGTTCTCAAGAGAAAAATTTCGAAAGCTCCAGACTGAATCTGATAGTAATGATGGGTCCTGATTAATTGAGCTGTTATTTTAAATAAAAGAGCTCCAAATATTTGTAGACTTTCCAACCAATAGAGAAACGAATTTATCTTTTCATGGACTGTATGTGATATTGGATTTGTTCCATAAGAAAGAAAAGAAGCCGCAGAGAGGAGGGAGAATTCCAATTCTGGATGACTGCAGCAATTGTACATTGCTTGAGCTGCGTATTTCGTCCAATTAATCAAGTAGATTAACATGTCGACTCATCCATTCGAATATCTCAGTAACCAGTGACGCTACGTGTGATGTGCGCAGAAACCTCGAAGATGTGATCGCTGTCGTGGAGTCGGAAATAACGTACCCGTCTTTGCTCCATGCACCCTTTGCATGCAGCTCGACTGTCTACTTTTTCGTACAGGGTTAAAAACGAGTTGTAGTATCAGTAAGGGTGCCGAAACTTTGTTCAACTTCTGAATTATGCTCGGACCTGACGCCCTTTGTTAATGCTCGACTTTTGCGCAGCTTTGTCGACTATGCAAAGGTCGAGGCAAGCAAGGTATGTCGTGAGAGAAGCACAGTGAATTTGACCAAGTTTATAATTGCACCATGTTCTGAGTTAGATAATGAGAAGCAACACGCTTTAGGAAAGTTGGGAATGTTTTCTTTGCTATACTCTGAATTTGTGTTCATTTGGATCGTTATCGCGAAGGTAGTGCATTGATTTCTAAAAAATATTGTAGAAAATTGTTCTTGGTGTACGGCACTTTTTAAGTTTGACATGTGCATGAAGAATCTGCCGATGCACAGTCTTCACATGGTTCTCTTGACTTTCCTGGGATGAATATGCTATTGTATGGTGAGGATTCCAATATATTAATGTTTTTACAAACAGGGAATTGCGAAAGAAGAGCACTTTCGGACAGCAGATTCTTGGCGTTTTTTTTTGTGAACTGGAATGCAAATAGTGAGGAAAGTTCTTTAGGAGTCACCAGGAACAAATTACATTTTTCTGGTAAAATAAATCTGCGAAGTCGTTGGCGCTCTGTAGATTTGACATTTGATGCCTCGTATATGGATGGGTCCTCAGGGGGTGTCTTCACGGGCTTGCCACTGGTGAAGTGTAGACTATGCGGAGGGAGAGGGAGGCAAAAGTGTAAACCATGCGAAGCGACTGGCCTGGCGAATCACTGGCTGTATAGCCCCGTGTCGGATGGAGGTTGGGGACCCAGAGGCTCGTAGAAAAGTATAGTCCTCTTGTTAAACGAATACTTAGAAGATATTCAGCCAGTTGATACAGAGCAGAAAATGTATCAAGTGGACTGAACCCAAAATTTTCCCCTGAAGTCGTTTGATCAGCACAAGCTCTTTACTCTGTAACGTAAGTAGAGTCGTCCATTGATCTTGCCGAAGAAAAGTTTTGAATCTCATAAAAGATGTACAGATATGCAAACTTTGAGCTGAACCTTTGGTAGCCCTGATCCGTGCTCGCCAATCTCTCCGTCGAGTTGTTGAATTATTGCAGTATCTTTTGTTGGTAACATGGACTCAAATTTCACCGCTTCCTTCCTGTTCGGATGTGAGACTTTCCTGGTATGATTGATCTACGCAGTCCGTGTTGCCCACTGAAGAGGAGTCTTTGCAGTTGGAACTGTCACTGGAGGTGCTTGCTACGTACTTCCAGTGGTCAACTGATATTGGTGACATGACGGAGCTGGATATGTCACCTGAGCTGCTCGCTTCCTGCGACTGCTCTTTTAATGTGGATGTTGATCCTGGTGATGTCTCCGGGTTGAAGAACATCTCTGCAATCTCCTCTCCGACGCGGACCTGGTCAAGACAGATTCCAAGAACAACCGTCAGAGCCCAGATGATGGAGTAGGCTTCACCATCACGGTATGCCGAAAGAAGCATTTCATAGTAGAAGCATCTGGAGACGAAGCAGTATGAAAGTTACTGTTGACTGTTTACTCTATTTGGGCATTGGAGAGGGAGGACGGAAGGTTCCTCTATCTAGCAGAATCCTAACTCCACGAGGTCTACGTGTGTTCCTTTCATTGTGTATACGAGAGATATCCACAAGCAGACGTGGGGAAACGATGTCACTGTCATCATTATCAGGAACTAGGAGCATCCCTGTAGCTCATTGGCGTGAGGTGAGAGTCACTGATGGGGATCCAGTAGTTGTTACTCTTACATCGAGGTCCTTCATTCTCTCATGAGCCCGTTCGATCATCATGTCGCAATGGTGACCCAGCCCGCCGACGGTGTGGGACAAAACCGTCTGCACAGCACCTTCTGTGGAACACAAGGGAGCCGGACGAGCAAACTTAGTAACCTGGTGAGGCATCTTCCCTGCACTCGATGGGCGACTTAGAGATGCTTATGTCTACAGGATGGCCGGCCTCCAGCAGGAGCAGAGCTTTATTGCTGCGCAAGCAACTTCAAATTCGAAGACCTGAGTGACACTGGGATTGTTTCACGGGGTGAGCTGACTATACGTGAATTCTACCTCCGCTGACCCGGCCAATCATGCGAAATCTCAGGTTGATTTCACTCCAGAAATTGGAATCTACGAGCTCACCTAAGTCAAGGTTGCTTTCGTAGAGGCTGTCTTTCAGGTTGTAGAACTCAACCATATCCTCTTCACTAACATTTTCCAAGGCTATGTCCGGATGTGGTATGGGGCTCGAGCCCAGAGCTCTCTCCACGGAGGATGGTGTCCCCAGCCTCTCCACAATCTCCGGTAACGGGCTCAGGGTCAACGGATGATTGCATGATGTAGAAGCGCCTCTGCTGCTGCTGCTCCCCGCTTCGGATGATGTCCCGGGCCTCCTTGATCCACTGCATCCTTCCCCATCGATCGGAACGTCCTTGCCTCCATCCTCTGTGGCCCTGAAGACCTGCGCCTTACATGCTCGCTGTTTGGATTCCCCACCATGATCATCCTCCTCCGTCCTAGCTCTCCCCGTGCCCTCCTCATCCTCCTCATGCTCTTCATCTTCCTCTTCCTCTTGCTCGCTTGCCTCATCCGATTCCGTAGAATAATCGGAACTGGTGCCAGATAAAGTACGTGCTCAGTCCAAGCTGATTGATTCTTCTCAAAGTTGGTGTGAAGTTCAGGAGACAACGACTCGAAACATGATGAGCCATAAGTGAAACTGCAGGTCGCTGTACACAAATCCAGGGGAGTGGCATACGCCCAGCCCAACTGTAGAATCGAGTCAACTAGGAAAGGAAGTACTTGGTCAAATCGTTGAGAGTGCAATGCCGGCCTAGGTCAATTCAGGCCCCCCATCATTATGTAGACACTGACCGTTCGAGCTATTCTCGAACCGTAGAGAGTTTGTGAACACCGGGAATTTCATTCATACCAGGAGTAATCGGTTAAGGGATCACCATCAAGCTCTTTAAGATTGGGCAACGCGGTTCTCAGATACTCTCGCAGTCCCTCTTGTGAGTCACAACAAGGATTGCCTTCCACGTAGAGAAAACTCAAGGACTGAGGCAATTCAGCTGCAATCACATCCATGAGTAGTGAGTTAAGCGTGAGAAGTTGGTGAACGGGAAACTTGAATATTATTGTGTCTTTATAAGACATAATATCCTGGCATCAAAGTTTTCAATTGCAGTAGATTCAAACGCAAGGAACAGGGCGTAAATTATTCCGGAATCGACGAACACTGCCTGTTTGAAAACTTGCCACAGTCGATTTTGTTGATGGAATTTTCGGCAGCATCGAGCACCATTAGCTTTGGAAGGGACACGAGACCCTCCAGCCCTGTGAGTTGATTGTTGGAAACAATGAGAAACTTGAGCCCTTTCGCAACCTGAATTCCGCTCAGGCTCTTCAGTCCGTTCTGGAACAAACGAAGGCAGAGCGAACGCCAAAGCCATACTTCAGAATAATTTGAGCTAACAACACGAGAAATGCCTTGGCATGCCCCGTGAAACTCCTCGGCGAGGTCCAGCTTTGGGTCCTGGAAACTTGAATGTTGGGCGGCAATCGTAGAGGCCTTACAACTTTGAAAACGTGTACTCCAGAGAAATCCCATGGTGCGCGAACCTTTCATACCTACCTAACAACCTTTTTACTGATGCACTTTACCTTCTGCTTTTGAAACGAATAGGCTCAAATGTTTTTGTACTCAGCGCACTGAAGATTGGTGTCTTTCCGACTGAAAGTACTTGCGTACATTGTGTCTGGTATAAAGCATATGCATGAAGAATTCTGACAGCATATTCACATTCCTTTGGAGGCAATATCACCGTAGGAGATCATGGAATGCTCATGGCCTCCCTCGATTTTCAATTTGGCTTTTCAAAGTGGTGGTAAAATTATATCCTCGGTTACTTTAGATCCTTTAGTTCCGGCTCGGCAGCATGTAAGCTTATCTTCTCTAACACTGTGTCATGTTGAGAAAAAAGGATGCGAGAAAAGTTTAACCAGCTCAGCAACGAAAGTCCCTTAATCTCCCAAGCCGAAGAGGTTTATTCGTTAGTGGACATTAAGTAAAACGAGAAGTTTGGACTTATTTTGAAAGTGTGGGTGATGGGGCCTCTAAATTTGTCCATGTCGTGAGTCTTGAATCATGCATGGGAAGACAGAATGTGCACCTGCTGAAGGTAAAGATGGGTGAGCTGAGGAAGGCTTAGGACGAAGCGGATCTTATCGACAGATGTGATGTTCTCCCTATCGAGCTTCACATGCGTCAACTGCTCCAGTGCTTTGGCTCTGACCCAAATCACAAGACCGCATAATTTTATCTGCCATCAGACTAGTATTAACTTTTTCTTCAAAAAAATTTAACATACACTTCCCAATGAAGTTGCCACGAACAAGCTTTAGAGCTGATGGATTAGCTTTTTAGGTACCAACCAGAACTGTTGGAATTCGGTCCTTTTTTAAGCTTCTATGATTTAGATTAAAACTCGTCAGTTCTCTTGATGCGACATTCCCATGAATACTGTCTACATACACCATCTGCTGAGACAGAGGACTGAAGAAGGGTCACAAGCTTTCGCTTGTGACCCCTTATTCAGATTGAAGTCAGTTAGGATATTGTTGTGGGTCCTGTCTCTAGATCCTGTCACGTCGTTATTATGACATTTCAATCTGAAGGAGATACCGCAGTTAAAAAGGAGAGATTGAAGTATGGAGAAAAGTTACGGCATCCCATCTCCTACGCGCCATCTCTCTCATCGCCATCTCCTTCCTCGGAAGGAGGAAAGAGGAGGAAGCGAGATTAGAGATGGCGATAAAACCGAAATCAATATTAGGTTCGGGAGTAGGAGCGGACATGGATGGACCGGAGGAGCAGTCGAGAAAGTCCTCTGACATGTTTCTCTGCGCCACCATTGCGGCGCAATCCGAACTCTCTACATCCCACTCCGTAGCCATGCCTTCCATGGAGGCACCCTTTAAACAGCCTCGTACTGTTACTCTTTTAGCTGCCGCATCCATCAACGGTGACACATCCTGAGCCTGTGATGCTCCCTGCTCAGTCACTCACCACTCCATGAGCTACGAAGCAACCCAACAAAAGTCAAAAGAGAACCATCGCGAAAATCCGATCAACCTCCTCCTCCTCCTCCTTCTTCGAGAGAGATCTTCAGATGTTGCCAAATCGCCTTCGATTTCTCTAAATTTACCATCAAATCGACACCCTCCGTCTGCAATTTGCTGATTGCAACCTCGAAAGGCCGGACGACGAAGCATCCAAGAAACTGGCGACGACAAAGGACCGTAACCCTAAAGAAAGCCCCGGCTGCTCCCATCCGCCGTGGAGTTCTCGCACATCAGCATGCACCGAAGACGGAGCGGGCGGAAGACGGTGGCGGTTTCGCCACCGTCTCCGCCTCATCACGTCCAAGAGCCTGGTTTGGCGGTTTCGCCAAACCAGTCCCTCGGACGTGATGAGGCAGGCCGGAACTGGGGAGCCAGCATATCATGTCCGGAACTTTGCCCGCTCGGTCCTCCGCCGCGGTTTATGCCAGCATATCATGTCTCGCCACTCCGGCTCCGACATCCGAGATGACCCCGGAGTTCGAACCGTAAGGGTACAGTACAGGAGCTGTACGACGATCGTCCGACCGCTTTGACTCGTAACATATTCTGTAAACTTATCGTTCGGTGCGTGCTATGCCGCGAATGCGTGGCTATACAAACGCGAACCTTAGTTTGTTTGTACGTCGAGTCTTAGTTTGTTTGTACGTCGAGTCGTTATTCTGTCCCAATTCAGCTTGTCTTCTGTCGAGTAGTTACATGGATAGATATCCTCCTAGTAAATAGAATGAAGCACACTTTTATTTTTGGGCCTGGGAAACGTTTCCCAACACTGTTCATTGTGAAAATTTTCTTCTTTGTCTGTTATGGACCGTACTACCCTTACCACAATAAAGTAAAATAGCAAAACGACGAGGCACATTATCATGTTTGGACTGGATGAAACCGAATGGGTTCTAGGGCCCACAATAGCACCACAAAGAGCAACATATGGTACCGTAACTATCAAGGAACACTGGTTTCAGATGGTAAAGCATACTAAGAAACATAATTTATATAATTGGAGTGCTATCCTACAATGGAAACAACTTGAGTTGCAGAATTACTTAAGCTATACAAGCTAAAAGAAATAACACCCATGTGGATAGTTTGCTCTTGCCCCTTCTCTCATACGAAAAAATGGAACTCCAAAACCAACACATCCTAAAATAAAATTTAGGATCTCTATGCATAACGTACACAACACTAATTTCATACTTCTGAGAAAATTATTAACTTTCCGTAATCAGGAAAATAACAAGGCATACTAACGCTCCTTCCATATGAACTCTATAACCTCCACTGACATCAATGTAGCTATCATATACTTTTCATATGAAGAAATCATGTTACAGTCAAATTCTACCACATTCAAAAGTGAATGTGAAGAGTGAAGATTTATATATATGATAAACCCAAAATCAAATCTTATCAAGAAAAAGTAACAATCATGCAGTCACAGAAGGAATGAGAAATTAAACTTAGACCTTACAAGAACTTAGATAAACTAATCAAGATTCCCTATGCTTGATTATATTTTTTTTGCGTGTTTTTCATATAGCTGGGTATTTCAAACCAAGAACTCAGGTGTATTTTTTCTGTGATTTTCGAGGAGGTAGACGTAAGTCGTACATTGTACTTGCAATGTTGCCATATTAGTCAAAAGTGAGACAAGAAGATCGTGCTCCTCGGCACGTTCATATTCCCATGGACAAAAGTGTATCTTGATAATATGATTTTGCAGGCATGTCGACACATGTTGCTGCTGTCTTGTATTGTACGTCCTTTTAACTACAGTCCAGTGCAAAGTATCTATCCCGGATAGAATCATCAAGCGGTGGACCAAGTTTTCATGAACTTGGTAACAGCATGTCTGCGAGTTCCTTGACTCCCATTTGAGAAAACAAATTCTTGTCTTTTTTTCAACTTGGAGTCTTCATTCCTTCAGTTCGTGACAACTTGCTTCTCATAATTTTGGATGCATGATCTTAAATGACATAAGTTTGGAAGATGGACCTCAAAAAAGTATGGACCTAATGGGGAGCTTACCATTTTGCAGCCTACATGTAAAATCGTTTCAAACAAACTGGGCATCAATTCATTTCCTGTTTGAAGCTTACGCACGTCGTTCACACTTTTACAAACAAACATCCATTTTTGGTGTTGAGAAAACAGAACTTAAAAATTTATTTACCATTTCATTATTTTGTCTTTACAGACAAATGGTCCTCGATTGGAATCAGGTGACACAGTGATAAGATAATCCAGCGACATCTTCGGAGCGAAGGAGAAGAGATGGACTGTTCACCCCAAGCATCACTCAGAATCTCAACAAAGTTCAGAGAATACCCTAAGAGGATTGCATGTCACCGGCAATAACTGTTTTATCGGTATAGCTTTTACATCACTTTGAGCGGAAATCCTCTGCACATATCTATCAGGAATTACTGACACTACTAAATTTATCTCCATTCGTTTTTACGATCAAGGAAGAAACTATGATCTATCAGACTATCAAAGTCGATATGAAAGGCGAGAGAGCAAGAAGCTGAACAATTCAGTAATAAATTCGGGCATGAAGAGAAAGAAACATGTAGTAATTTCAGTGCATTTAGATATTTTTGCTATGTGTCCAACTGCTGCCCGGTCCCTCTACGAGGGCCGGAAAGCATTCCCTGGTTCTTAACACCGTACGTCCGTCGGAGTAGGCGGCGCGGTGGTGGGCCCGGGGACCGGGCCCACCACGTTAGCCGTCAGCGAATCCGTAAGCTTCCTCATTTTAGCCAGGAAAGAGCTTGTCTGCTGCCAGTCCGGCTGCTGCTCGTGAGGCACTTCGTTCCAGAGAGTTAGACTTCCAGTTTGAAATTCCGTGACTACCCTTTCTTTTGCCCTCCTTGCGTTTCGGTTTCACCTCTTGACAATAGTCGCGGTTCCTCTGTTTACTCGCCTGTCTGCGAGCCTTTGCCTCCGCCTCCTCCTCTGTCTCCTATTCTATGGCCGGGATTGCTATACTTCGTGCGATGTTCACGAGTTTCTTCCGTCCCTTACTACGTTTATTCTTCTCTCCGCGAGTTGTCATCGTCTCCACCCTGTCTCGTTTTCTCTACTTGTCCACTCTTCCATTTTGGCTCCCTGTTGCACCTTACGATCTCGGGTAGTTCTGTAGAAGCTGTAGCAGCATTGGTGCGGCCGTTCCGGGGTCGTGTGCCTTCCAATATTCCAATATCACATGCGCCTACAGGCGTAGGGTTTGGTTTTGGTTCGTTTCCTTCTCTTTTTGTTGGTGGTTGATTTTGGTGAGCTGAACCGTACCTTGGGAGGAAGGTCCTCGTCGTTGTGGCCCCGAACCAGCATAGATAAGGACGATAGATTCCTGGATCCGATAGCTGATGTAGTCCATTAGGTCGCGGATTGAGCCCAGGAGCTGAATCTGAATCATCGCACGCAAAGTGCCTGAATTTCTTAGGATCAATCTGTTATTAGCAGTTAGTTGGAGATGCCCGATGCGGCGTTGTTGCTCATAGCCTGATTCACCCTTGCTGAGATTGGACTCGCACTGCGGGGAACAGGAGTGTTAATCGAGTCAGAACGGGCCTTTGTCATATGGACCGGGAGTAGAGGATGACTTAGTGATGGAAGTAGATTATATGCGCGCAATCAAAGCATTACACGGAAAGGTGTGAGAAGCGAGCAGCCCGCGGTGAAAGTGACCATTATATACTACATTGGAGTACTTGTTGTTGTTTTTTGACATTCTAGAATTGAAAGTGATGGAAGAAGCTGCAGTGAAGATACAGGCCTCATATCGGGGTTTCTACGTGCGACAATGTCAACCCTTGCGCAAACTCCGCCAAATTGCAGATGTGAGGACGAAGCTGAAGAAGTTGAACACGCGAGCTTGTGATCCTGGCTACATTAACAAGCTATGCATCGATCCCATGGAGAATCGCAAGATGAAAGAGGAAATCATGGCTTTGCTTCTTGAACTGGATGCCGTTCAGGTATTTCTCATCCTTCTCGAAGACTTCAGAATTACTCTGTGCAAATATTCAGTCCAGATGTCCTACTGGAATCGGCCAATGCCTGGTCATCGGCCACAATTTTGATCAGCTCCCGCCATTTGCCGATCATCAGCTGTCCGATGTCATGAGATTCCTTTTTTTAGTTGGCATAACCAATCATCGTATGTGCAATAGCTGTATCCATCCTAAGTAGCACAGACGCTTGCTCGATCGAAACCGCCCTATCGGTGGAACATTGTACATTTGAACTGGCATAACCTTCATGACATTGCGGACATAGTGTCAGTTCAAGAAGTGTCGAGTGGAGAAAGGATGGAATAGTTTCCTGCTGCTTGATCGCAGCCTTGATCTGCCCTATGTGTAGCCGTTCATTCACAATGCAAGGCAGGACGGCCGCATCCTAATTGTTCGAGGTAGTGCAGGAGTTTACCTTGCTAGACCACGCACGTGATATCCGACCGTAAGTGGGCTTTTGGAGAATAAGTTTGGTCTTTTGAGGACATACTAAATTTTTTTTTTGGTGAACAATGTCCCTGCCTACTTCTCCAACTGGTCCGAAAACACTGGCATGGATATATTTCTGATTTGTCGCGATAGATTAGGAATTTGAAGTGACTGCAACAAAATCGAGCGTTTTGTCACAGAGCTCATTCGAGCAAGGTTCTGGTCCAGCAGAAGGCGTCGTCTATTCAAGTCATGGGCTTGTTCAGTTCGGTTGTTTAAACAGACATCAGGACAACTTGCGTAACTAATAGAATCTAATTTGTTTCCGTAGTTTCGATGACCAAGATTTATCTTTAGGAGGAAAATGTAGAGTTCTTCTCTTAGGCTTCGGCCTGAGTTCTAGCTTCCGCGAGAGAAATCTGACTCGTTTGCGATTGTATGTTACTCAGGGGGTTCTTCCCGTAGTTCGGAAAATTCGGAAGAGCCTTGCTCGAGATGTCGTGCAATTCCAAGAAATAGTGGATGCCGTCACAGTCGATTCTGATGCAGGGAACGACGCCGAAGAACCAGTTCCTCGTCCAAGTGCACCAGCTGCTTCTCGCGCAAGCGGACCAGCGAATCCCCCCAATCCCCGTGGAGCCGACCAGGCAAGTGGTCGGCCAAGTGCACCAGTTAATCCTCCTCTCCGGAGAGTAATGAGTCTAGACAACAATGTCTACCCAGAGCAATCTTACGCGCATAACCTCAACAAGAAGAAGACGCCTCTGGACGGGGGTGGGTTCGAGGGTTACAATCGCAGTAGCGATGAAGATGCGGGTCCAAGACGGCGACCAGACGGGACGGTGAGGAGTCCTTTTCTAGGGAGAAGCATGAGTGGAAATCACAAACTCTTTGCGAACAAGAGTGCCTTGTTGGGAAGGGCTGGGAATGCGAGCGTCCGGAGCCCTTTGTTAGGCCGAAGCATCAGCGAGGTTGTGAGGAAACCCAACAACCGGAGCCCCCTGTTGGGTCGAAGCATCAGTGAGGTGCAGCGGAAGAAAGGCGATATAGATAGTCCGGCGGTAACAATAATTCCAGATGCTATCCGTCAATCTCAACCGAAGACCCCTCCTATATCTGATGAGCGAGCATCCGCAGCGGATATGAACCCCCGTCCAGCTATTCGAAGGTCATTCTCTTTTGACAGACTTCAAGCTGCTGTACTCATCCAGTCGACATACAGGGGTTATTTGTCTAGACGATCGAGACCTTTGGAGCATTTGCGGAATATCTCGGTGGTGAATAGGAGACTGGCAGAGCTGAACAGCGAGCTCGTAGATCCTATTTGCGCTGAAAGGCTGCGAACTGACGGAATGGAGCGCCTGAAGTGGTCTGAAGAAATCACAGCACTATTGCTGAAGCTTGATAGCGTGCAGGTACCTTTCATGCCTGTGAGGAACATGTCGCATCTTGCATATTTCGTGTCACTGATATTCACAGATTTTAATATTGTCTTTGCCAGCTCAATTCTTTGTTATGACTGAATTGCTGTAAAGTATTTTTCATAGTAGCTTCGAAGAGCAGGTGGAGGCTGGTATGGCGTACGTAGTACCGTTCCGGAATTCTCAAAATACGTATCGAGGAGACAAAAGATCATCTTCTTGCTTTAGAACGCATGATATTGTTCTTTAGCTATGCTTTCTGCTTGAGTATGACTTGACCAGCCCAAAACTCTCTTCAAGGCACTCAATCAACGTCTATGTCGAGATTTTTTGGAATGAAGCTAACGTCTGCGTTAAGTCTTGTGCATTTAGTGTCTTGTGCTGACCTAGTAACTCTGTTTGCTGCATCTGTCGGTGTCTCGTATAATGATGAGTGTTTCCATCGACTTGAATCGTTCATATCTACCAACAATGGGTTGTACACTGTACAGACTTTGTTGTTTTATCCGATTCCTGATAATAGGAGATACACCGGTCCGATGGAACTAATTGCTTGAAACAAATGTTTCAGTTACTCCTTGTGAGGTGCTGAAGTGGTTTGATGAATGTCAGAAGCCTGGGATAGTTAATGATGGAGAGGAGGTGCACTTCTGCTTTATTCTCGCGTGGCTTGCAGAAATATCCACGAATTAATGATGAGATGTCGATGTGCAGGGTGTCGTGCAAGCCATCAGAGATATCAGGAAGAGTGTGACTCGAGAAGTGATAAAGCTTCAAGAGAAGGTGGACCATATCATCCATGAAGCCGAAGTTTTGTCTCGTATGGCTGATATCCACAGCGATTCGAGTGTTGAGAGTACCGAACATTTCAAATGCACTGCAAATATTCCAACACTCTATGAGATGCCGGTACCAGATCAAGAGAATTCGAAGAACGTCGGGGAAATAGGCTTGTCTCCGAAAGCCTCAGCACAATCCAGCTCCATTCAGGGCAGCGGTGGTGTACCTATTTTGAGACCGTTGGGTGATACTCCTCTTTGGGATGATAAATTTGTAGATTTGCAGAAACCGCAGAAACTGGAGCAGGATTGTGATCTGAGCACAGGAAGTTGCGCTGGCGAGAGAGTTACTTGTGAAGTAGAGCAGCAACCAGAACAGGCGAGAGCACAAAGGAATCTCAAAAGAGTTCAAAGTGGGTCAGACTCGAGTACGAGAGCAATGGAGTTTCACCAGGGTGACGTCATGAGCTTAGGCAGATCTCCCTCAGAGGATGAAAGACCTTTGACTGTGTCTTCCTCTGAGTCCGCTGCATCTTTGCAGGGTAATGGCACATCTCAGCCTCTAGTACACAAGGGAGAAGTCGACTCCCAACACGCTGTACTTGCAGGGATTCCGAAAAAACTCAAGAGAGTAGAGAGCGGTACTTCGATTGGCGCTGTCGATCCCCAGTTGTTTTCTACCGTCGCAGGGATTACGAGAAATTCCAACGGATTTGTTCTCAGGCCTGTGAAAACAATCCTCGATGGAAACGCTCAAGCTGTAAGAGCTCCAAATACATCTGTGCATAGAACAAGAGTCCACATGCGCAGCACCGATGATTCTTCTCCATCTCCGAGACAAGCGGAAACCGATAGCGACTCGAATGATGTTCGTATGCTACCAGATATGGAGTTCCTAGTGGATAGGTCGAAACAGGGCTGCTGCAATGGGAGATCTCCAGATGGACTCGATCTTTTTGAAGAGAGAGCATACGAATTTCTTCGATCACAACCCGGCCACTGGGAAGAGCTAGAAACTGCACGTGAAGAAGTTTCCCAAGGACAGAGTGCTGAAGACGCCAATCTACCCACGACCTCAGAGGCACCTGCCGCACAGAGTTCGTCGGAGGACCAGTCGGAGGACGATCGTGTGACTGACTTAATGATTGAAAATACGAGGCTGAAACTCCTACTCAGCCAAGTACTCGAACAAGCCGAACAAACAGTCCAAGATCTGAAAGCCACGAAGATGAGACTTGCAAAGCTGGAGAAGGAACGTTCTCAACACACGAAGAGGGAAGAAACGGGTGTTCGGAAAAAGAACCCTTATAACAGGAGGAGGAGGTGATAACTCGAAACGCTCAAGTAGGAACCGTGAATATGGGGCCAGTCACCTAGCTAGCATTGTAAATACGAAGTTGATGTCCATTACTCCAAGTTCCCTGGCCATGTCGGAGATGGAGCTTGTTTTTGACACTCGCTACGTCTTTCCTCGGACTGTAAATAGATGTTTACAGGTCATGTAGAATAGATTGAAGTATTCTCAAAATGGTGCAGGCCAGTCTGCCCACATTGATGTATACTAGCATGAACTTCAGAGGTGTTTTTGTTCAGTCTACAGATGTATCATGGAGAGTTGTACCAGCCTTACGGCGTCTCTTTTAATTCAATCTCACTTAATTATTTCCGTGTAGTTAACATTACTGCCTCTGGATCAAATTTATTTCGTTTCGAAACTCTCAGAGCTCAAGAACCATGTACATTTACTTCCGAAGACTCATAAATATTCTATCGATAGAATCCAAGCAATGTCTTAGATCTAGATTATGAAACATAACTGTTATAAACTGCTGGGTTTAAATTGATAAAGTTTTTCTCCATGACGGATTCTAGCCGAGATTATTGGACCAAAATTTTCATGATTATAGTTTATTCTGGTTATTAATTCTTCATATCTATTAGCAAAATGGATTTGATTGTCTTACAAGAGTTTAAGTTGGAGTGTTGATGAACAATTTAGATGTCCCATGGGTAAAATTGTAAAACATTTTATGATAATATAAAATGATCATCTGAATGAAAATGATAATTTCTTCGAATATACTCTTGCATCTAAATTTCTTTTCAACTTGAAAAGTTTACATCTTATTTATTAAAATTTTAAAAGTAATTTTCTTGATAATTTCTTGTTTCAAAATAATCAAGAACATACAAATTTTTTTAAATTTACCATTATCCCAAAGACTGTAGATTATCACCATGTACCTAGGTTTCATTCTATTCAAAATTGGTTTTTTTAAAAAAGAAAATATTATTTACATAATAAAGTTAATATCTTTAGAAATTCATATGTTACAATTTTCTTTAAGACATTTTAGTCTTATTTTGAGCAACCTTCATGAGGTAATTAGAACGAGCAGTTTAACAACGAGAGCAATCGGATATATCAATCATGGAGACAAGTCCATCGAATTTCTCACTTTCGTGAGAGATGAAAGGAAAATATTAAAAACTATTTAAATCAAAACATGATAGTTGTTTTGATTTAAAGAATTCTTGCACTCTACATTCCCATATCGCGTGTACTTCCCCAAGTGATCCACATACTTTTTGATATTACACTGTGTTGCGCAAGCATTTTATATGCATTAGTTTCGACAAAAAATTAATATACCTAGCCTGCTATTAGGGCTTGTTCTTTATCATTCTTTCTTCTTAGTCTCTTTGATGGAAGGAAAGTAGACCGAGGTAGCGGGAGGTGATTCCAGGACAGCGGCTACGTCCTTTGCTCCTCTCGCCGACAATGAGAAGCGGTAGATGCTTAGACTTTGGGTTTCAGCTTCTAGCTCAGTTTTCCTTCCTTGGCTCGACTCTACAAGGATTGCAGTACTCGCTTTGATAAGCTTCAACAATAAATATAATAGATTTTTTTCCAATTCTTTTACACATTCTTGAAATTAATGAACTTTCAAATGAAGGTTATTATTGCTTTAAAATAAAAGAAACACATTTTAAAATAATTATTATTTAAGATGAATATAATTTCAGATGTTAATAAAATAAACTCAAAAAATTACTGAATAAAATATATTAAGTTTTTAGTATAGCACAAATGTGTGTAAACTTAGATTAGTTCTTTTTCAAGTAAATAAACTTGACCCCAACGCTAGATTTAAGATTAATAATGCAATTAAAAGGTAAAATATTTCAGTAAGTGGCTGCAGAACGTGTCAAAAATAATGAGCTCTACACGCTTTGATATACAACATTAATTTCACAAATGATATGAGTAAACAAAAATAATCATGTAATATGTAATGAATGCAAAGGATTATAATGAATCTGATAAAATCTCTTGAAATCACCTGAACACAGTATTTGAATGTGTGCACATAAGAAATGATTTATTAAGCCTTGAATGTAATACGCAATACAATGTGGCAATGAGAAAATTCATAATCATGAAATTTTTTTTATATATTCTGTTGTAATTTTGCATGATGTGAAAATAATTTTTTTTAAGAGTAGGAAAAATAATATTTTTGGTGATAAATTGAGTTAATTTAAGTTGAAATATCATTTTTAAAAATCAGATAAAATTTATTTCATCTAATCAAATAACTCAAAATAAATTGAATAAATAAATTTAATAAATTGAATTAATTTTCATTTATTCAAATTAAAAGTCACACCTATGGTGACATCAATAACGTAAAAATTTCTTTTAAATTGAATATTTATATAGCTAAACATGAATTTTATAGCTAATAATGATAAGATTGAAAAAATAAGTGTGATGTAATATATGTAATGTAATGGATAATGAAGACAATTATTGTGTTGTTAAATGAAAATCAACCATCATCATATGACTATTTTGATTTTTCTTTGATTAGATGAAATTCTTAGTTCTACGGGCAAAATTTATTCTATAATTCTGAATACATTGGAATCAATAAGTCCAAATTAATCAACAAAATCTTGAAATATTTTCATGTAAATTTCTGAAAACTATGAGACTTACAAATTTTTTAAATTGATTGAAAACTATTACATATAGATTATTTTTAGTTACTATAGTATAAATTCAATTATCATCAATAAAATGTTTGAGCATCATCTTTGAAGCTTGTATAGAAAAATTAGTTTCAAGATCTTTTCGTCACATGTAAAAGTTTGTCATTTTGCTTATAAAACAAAATTACCACTAGATGATAAAAATACAAAGTTTGTGTAAAAAGTTTGGAAAAATATATTCCTAGATTCATGATAAATAATTATGATAACCAGGTTCAAGGTCGTCGAAACCATTCATCAAGGTAACCTTTTTGTACGAATTTCAGATTTATATTTTCAATCTCTATGAGAAGAGGTCATGCAAAAGATGAAAAACAAATCTTAGAGGAGCTCAAGATGGTTATTATAAGTTTGTAAGATCGATTGACAAATATGTTGCATATACAAATTGACTTCGTCAGACTAAAACATGTGAGCTAGAGTCAAGCATATGGATTCGACTGAACCGGTGAATCGAGCTGCAGATATTCAAGCTATGTTTACGTGACCTCTCCCTGACAACCTAAAAAACTACTACATTTGCCACATAGCATTCGACCTTGAGTTATAAACGGTTTTTCAATTTTAAGACACATTCGAATTCTAGTCCTCACATCCAAAGTTGATTTCCACTCGAGTATCTCTCTCTTCTGCCTCCGAGAAAATTTGCATTTTTCATTGCTAGCAACATCCATACTATCACGACTATCACGAAAAAATCTGTGCTGTTTGCCGTCGGTGCTCCCTGATGTCATCAAGTATGATTAATACGTCTAAATAATCTGATGACATCGTCAATTTGATAAATTAGATAGACAGGGTTTCTCAGTGGTTTGGTTCCAAGTGTTTTAATACCCATTTTAATTTTCTAAATTTTTTTGATAAATATATCTATTTTGAGTGGACATATAATTTTTTTATAAACTAAATATATTTTTTGATTTCGAAATTTTTTCAGATCAAGCTTTTAAATTTTCTTAGTGCAAAATGCTATATACTTGTGCTTTCAATTGTTTCAAATGAAATAAGACTAAAACTTCAGTACTATACATGTTAGGGGAAGAGGACTCCAAACATCTCAAGTAATGTCACCTTTGAGTTCAATATATATATGTAGCAACTTTCTTTTTCCTTCGAACGCCTTCTGATTCTTTTTGAGATTATTAAGTTATATATTAGGTTTAATCTAAATATTAATATGATTTATTTATCTACATCAGCTGAATTCTCAAAAATTCAACCCATTAGTTAGCTCGTATGAAGAGGCTTCAATTTGTCTTGCATATAACACTGAAGGAGAATAAAAATAAGTAGAAAAAAAGTGAAATGAATAAAGCACATCAGACGCTCAGACGAAATCGATCAGTACAACAGTGAACAGATGAAACGCAATCGAGAAGTTGAAAAGATGATAGATATTCAGCCGCAACGTGGAGTAAGAAGCCCTGGAATGCATGCACGAACCCTGTAAGACGATGTCTTGATAATATAATAAGCCACGGATCTCGACCTCTTTCAGTTGACCGTTTAATAATAAATATGTCTCACAAGAACCTGTCAACAAAGATTTGTCTCTACGATGGCGGTGCCAGCAGAGGATCAAAATGTCGCACCTCCTCCCGAAGGCTGCCGAGCTGCTCGAACAAGAAGCATTCGAACATTGCTCGTCCTCACGTGTACACGTGTAATAACGAGTTGCTGCGTCGTCGTGCAAGTTGCTCGGGACAGCCGTTGGCGCAGACAGTTCAAATGCGAGATATGTAACTGACGGACGGACATGGCGGATGTGTGAGGCTGTCATTCACTCGGTACATAATTCCGTCGTCGTCGTTGTCCGCTCCTTCCACGACCCTGAGGACTGGAACATCTATCTTCTTCTATCTGGGACTTATCGTTATGGCCTTCAGGCTTTTCGTGAGGTTTTCGAGATTGTTTTGATTATGAGGTGCATGATTGTTCACTGCAGTTCTCGAGGCTGTTTTGCAACATAGAGATGAAGTGTTGACGATCTTTTAGCATTACGCCTGCGTCCCAATCGCAACATCCACGTTTCTACCAGTCTGCTGATAAAATTCTACCACTTCTTCTACAGCATGGACTGGTTTGAGACATTAGGACCAGCTCGACCAGTGATGATAAAAAATTGGATCTTGCCAGCGAGCATCAGTGCAGCAGAACTTCGAGTGGTGTCCGAAGCTCTCCTTACTGATGACGCTGGATACAAGAACAACGTCAATCTGTGCAGAATATGCAAGTGCTTGTATGCCCTTGCGAAGATGGAGGCCGAAGGCAAAGCAGAACTTGAAGAGGTTGAGGAGTTCCACGACTTTTATAAGCTACTGTTACATGTTGTGGAGATGTTCTTAACTCATGTGCCGTGTCTTAAACTGCACACGAGCGACGTGCTATTGTATAATTTGGGACTTTTGGTCGATCTTGCCAAGTTCGTGCTGTCATCGGTAAATGCCATGATGAGTCCACAAAAAGTGAACGATGCAATCTGCATATTAAGAGCATTGTGCAAAGCTCTGGATCGAGATACTCCATTTCATCAGCAGCATGAGCACATTCCATTGCCGACTGCGCTCCTAGACGGTCCAAGACGATTCGTTACTTGCAAATCTCTTCCAACTTCCGCTGAAGTGTGTAGCAACCCTGGAAAGCGAAAGAGGAGAATATCAGGAGTACCCGTCAACGTGATGAACTTCTGCAAGTGCCCAGAGTGTGGTCTGAGTTCGCCGGAGTCTTATCTCTGGGTAAAGTGCTTGGTCGAGTATTTCGGGAGAGGTTGTGCAGGATACGGGCCTCGCACTCATGGATTTGATAATATAAGAGAACTGCTACCTCACCTTCATGAGTTACCCATTGAGCTCACAGAAATTGTCCTGCAACTCTTTGCAAGAATGACTGAGTATCTAAGAGATGACCTTCGGAGCAATCTCTTACACCCGTTTATGAAGTTTATGCAGAATTTAAGTTCAAGGTGCGAACAGGAACTCGATGAGCAGTGTATCGAAGTCTACGTAATGATCCTGAAACATGCTCGTCGTCTACTCAACTTCTTTTTGCCGGGAGAATTGGGTCAGAGAGTTATTCGCGACTTTGAAGGTCAAATCCAAAGAATGCTGTTGAGCTTTATGACAGTCGAAACCGATAACATGTCTGAATCGTCACCACGTTCGTTGATGATGTGCGAGGAAGTTTCATCAGCAAAATCGAATTCTTATGTTGGGCGCATCTTGGACCAGACCGCTCAATGGTTCAAATATAAGTTTCCACTTACCTTCAATCCTAGTCGTGCACTTAGCTTGAACTCCAAAGTGGTTTAATAAATTGAGCAAGTTACATTAGACAGTCAATATGATGGCAGGCAAGAAAATTTGTTTACTGAATAGCAATGGAGTCGCAAGCCGTTGGTGATTGCCAAGTTCTGTAGGGTAGTAGATTAAGCATCAGATGGTTGCTAGAAGATCACTTCTGTACTTTGAAGAAGACATAGTGAAGTTTGATTTCTTGAATTAAAACCTTTACTTTTAAATTACTGCCTTATATTGGTTACTAATTCAAGCATGACGATCTTAGTGATATGTCGTACCTATAGATATTTGGTGAGCATACTTGTTATATCACAGTATGTATATAGTCTTGTTTTAATATTAAAAGATATAAACAACTATCCTTCACTCATTACAGAGCGATCAAAATTGAACCCCTTCGAGTTGCAACTATTCATTTCAAATTTCAGAAATTCTTTACATCTACTAGAGTCATATTTTCAAAGTAGAACATTTACAGAACACACCTTAAGTGGCAGTAATTTGCACTCTACCACTTGAAACTTAAATCTTCCAAAGATTCTTCTAGATTCGAGCTCGCTAATGACAAAAACTATATCTAATCATAATGCATGCCATTACAGGAGATCTGACATCTTTGTGACATGCAACAATATGACACCTTTAATTATACCTCATCACGAATCTTAATAGATAATAATCAAATAACGACACATGTCTCATGATTGGTTCGGCGAAAATTTTTGCAGCGAGATTTAAACTGCACATTTGAAGAATGTATTCCAGGTATTTTTTCTCTCATTAGGCCAGTTATCTCTTAGTTTTCATCAACATATGTAGTTTGTGCAAGTCAGATAAAAAGGAAAGTATCTGCTACGATGTTTTATCTTTTGTTGCAAATTTTTTTTTAAAAAAAATTACTGTACTCTATACCTCCATGAAAAGTCTACGTATGACAGTGGCAATGTCTTTCAGAAATATAAAAGTGCCCGATTAGGAAAAAAAAACAGATTTATCTTCAGCAATAATTAATTCCCACAATGAGAAAGATTAATCTTAGTTATAAGTTTGTCAATAAATAATTAATATATCCATCCCCGGTATTCCTGTCATTCATTTTAACCTGTGAAGCGATTAGAGCTATGATGTCCTCATATTAAAAGCATTCGTTATAATGTGATTGTCAGTTCTAACTGTCACGTGTTATCTTATAGTAGTGGATTAGTTGATTGTATTTAGAAATTGGAACCTTGTCAATTTTTTCTTCATATCTTAGGTATTTCTCTATTTTTGGACAATGTTTTCGAAAACTACAATGAGTGACTTATTTTAGCAATATTACTGAAATATTATGATGTTGTTAGATGTTTAATTTATCTTGTGCAAGAGGATTTTAAGATTTATATTAACTTGACCACATGTGTTTGAAGTGGAGAACGCTTTAATATCAAAGGATCATTGAGTTTACGAGATCAGTCTTCATTTACAGTTTGGTGTCAACGATGTAGCACTTAGTATCAACCTCATTACCCAAGCGAGACAAATAGAATATTAAAAGTCTGCCTTACGGATGCAAATTTGAGATAGATTATTCAAGCACATGTTGAAGAAATTGCCCTGTACACGAATGGACAAAACACAAAAAACGTAGACATGAGCCTGACTTCTCCGCGGCATGACAGATGTGATTGCTGCAGTCAAGAATCATAATGTTTCGATGTTTCTTGTAACGAGCACATTGTAAAGCAACCCACATTTCGTTCGATCGAGGAAATCTGGCTTCATAACGCAAGCTTCAGAAGATGTCATGTTTAAACTGGACGTGTCAATATATGACTTTGCTACTTTAGACCGGTTTACAGTTTGTTGGTATAGTTATCCAATTACGCAGCCTGCAGATGCAGCATCTACATGACTTTCACACGTAGCTCAATCTCTGGCGAGGTACATGATATTTGTAATCATTATTTCACTTTCACTGTAATCTTATTAGCCCAAATTATGATTCATTCTCAAAATTCTCAACGAAATATTGAGATATCTTCATAGAATTTATATTTATCATGTTTAAATATTCTAATTATATATTGAACGTGTACACATAGTGAAAGAATATATGTATATTATTTTAATATATGTTTATAGTTATACGGATGGGTAGGGCAAGATCATCTTATTATTACCTGTGCTCTAGATGGTACTGATCTGCCCTACCAGTCCATGTCGGTCGTTCCCAGTATTGTCAGCAGTGGTCGACTTTGAGCAGAAAACTCCAAACAAACAAAGATGTTGCAATTGTTGCTCGAAGCTATGATGCTAGAAGAGGTTCAGATTCATCTTGAAATTGCGATGGTCACTTCGAGAGATGTACCTTAGAAGCTCTCTTAGCACGGTGAATAATATCGTTGAATGCCATAACGATAAGGCAAATACGGAGAGGTTTAGAGAAGAAAAATCAAAATGCACAGGACCTTCTGTCGATGAGAACATGCAAAGCTTATATTAGTGAGTATATATGTACCAGAACAAAATCGTCTAGAGTTATTACAGGTTCGTCTTCAGTTATTATTGGTTCGTCTTCAGTAAGAGAACACATTCGAAAGACTTACGTGGCGCTCTCATTCATCTGGCATGGGCAACATTTCATCTCAAAAACCGAACCGTCCGCTCCAACTGTCGTCCATGTCTATCATACATGCAGAGTGGTACTCCATTATTCTAGAATGCTTGTCCAGGCGCCTCTCGTGCATTTACAATGTTTTATCCTATTGTTTCACCCGATTTATGAAATTAACCGCGCCAACCGCTGAATTGAACAATTTGCAGTCCAGTTTCTTGAAGGAACGCTGTCAGGAGGGAACCCGACAATTTCGTAGTTATATATCTGCGAATGTGCATATGCTAAAAGAATGCTCCTTTCTTGAGTTTGACAGCTCGCACAAGAGCTAAGCTCGATAGATCATTGACAGTGGCATAGAGAGCACTCTCACGCTTGCATGAATAGAGGAATGGAGTTTTATATTAAAAAACCTTATCTGCTTGATCCTCTGATTTCAACTATAAAGAGTTTTGAAATAAATCCTTACATTCAAGCTTACGTGATTATATCACACTTTTATTCCAATTTTTTTAATTTTTAAAACAATTTCCTTGTTAGTTTACAAGTTTATCTTAATGACGTAATAGTAGCCTTAAGCTTTTTAAAAGCATTTTGATACTTTAATAATATATATTTGACTACTAGAATTTGTCCCAAATGCTACAAAGCAGATTAAACACAAATCGGTGACCTAATGACTGACAAAAGGTATGAAAATTTTGTTGGCAGATGATGTTTGGGTTTCAATTGTAAGGAAATATTTTACTACTTAGCATCAACTCATTGAAATTTATCAGAATATCTCATGACTGAACTTAGCTTAGAACCCACGTCAATTTTTTATATTTGATTTACTCATATCTTAAAATTGTAATTGAAGACTTAGACTTTCACTTCAAATTCGGAAAAATATGACCCTTCCTGAAGATTTGTATTATTATCTTTGAGATTTGATAAATAATCTGATCATATATATATACATTCAATCATATGAATATATATGAATGATTAAAAACTCTTGAACCTGCAATAATTTGATTTAAGATTAGATTATTTCGAAAAGAAAAATTTCAATAAAAATAAAATCCATCCACTCTAATATGTCACTTTTACGATGAAAGTATGTAACATCGAAATAGTGTCAAATTCAGAAGTAGTACATGTTATATAACAAAAAGTATAACCATGTTTGAGATACGTTGGACAAATCATCCAGATTTGATATGAAATTAACCTAAAACTATAAGAAAAATTGTAATATATATATATATATATATATGAATGACATCCTTGTTAAGTGGTAGCCTCACAAAGTCACTAGCTTCCAGCTTAAGTAATTTTAGCTGTGGAGTGGGAAGAAAACTTGAATGGTAGAATGCTTAGCTGGAGAATGTCGACTTACAGTCAAGCGAAAAGTTCTAATCCGTAATATCGAAGTTTCTCTTGAGGGAGATAGGTTTCATCTCATGGCGACAACTGAAAATCGAACGACGAAAACAATTATGAGAATTTGATATATATATAGCTGGTCATATAATCCACTAAACTGACTCACAGTGGATGAATTCTGCTGTTAGTCAATCTCAGCAGTACCAACTAGTTAGACTGCCACCATTTGAATGCGGTCAGCTGGTCTTTGTCAGGCATGCGAGGTCTTGACGACTACAGCAATAGTTTCTAGTGGCAAGTTTAGGTACTTGTAAGAACATCAGGGTTCCGAATATGAACCATTTCTTGAATTTTCTTCAGTAACTTGGACGTGTAATGCAGATTTCTCGGACAGTTAGTATTAGAATTCTGAAAGATATTATTTTTATTGCTCTCATCTCACTGGTTCTTCTAAGGAAGTGTAGAAACTAACTGAGAGCGACTTGATGATGACGGTAAAGTACAGAGAAGGCACAACTTTTGTCCGCAGCAAAACCAACATGGATGAGGTGGCACTTGTTCTTTTCAGTTGGGAAGGAATTCTTCAATTGATGACTTCACTGTGTTGTAGTGTAAAGTCCAAATTCTCCTGTCTACTTTGTTAGGCAGCTTCTCAGAAATTCCTATAAAGACTGAAAGAGTGCATAGGAGGTGGGATGCCTTGGTAAGAGGTTTTGCCATAGCTTCATTTGTAATTATGTGAGATCTTCTGACGTGCCCGAGTTACAAGCCTAGCGTACACTTGTGTCTGGAGATGCTGTTCTAATTTGCAAATGAAATCATGGAACGCAGACATTATAAACGTAGACTTGGATTTGAGATCTGGATCAACATCTGGATCTTCAAAGCATTCGTAATCCTTTTTATTGGTGAAATCTGTCGAAGACATAATGCGAAACTTCAACAAGTGCATGCCATGTACCGGCCAAGGAATACTTGCAGCGTCTTTAGTGAGAGGTCCTTAGGAATATGGAGTCGGTTTGTTTCTATTTTGAGTTGATTCAGACAGAAATTATTTTATATGAAATTTAGATAAGGTAAGTTTACAGAATTATTGATCGTAGCACTAGATTGCTTCGTCCAAGAAGCGTGGCACTTATTATAATCAAATCATGGCCAATGAGCTACCAGATCTGTGGTGTGCTCCTGCGTTACCCGCGTGGAGAACTGTCTGGAGGGCGTAGCATTGTCTCCCTGCATGCTTTCAAAGAAAGGAATAGTTGACAGTACACGAGACCAAATGGCGAGAAAGAAGGCAACTAGCATCTCTTCGCCCGAGGGCCCACAAACATTACTCGCAAGGCCATGATATTTCAAAAGGTGTCTTGTCTTTTAATGTTGAGTGACTGCGTCTGACAGATGAGAAATCGTACTGTTTCATTGCATCTGAATATTTACATCGGGCAGAGAGCTTCCATGCACAGCAGTGCAGTCTGTGTAGATTATATGTATCTAGCTTCTCCATTTACCTATCCAGGTCTGAATCTGGTGGGTACTCCCGGAGATCATTTTGAAACCTTTCCAAGGAGTGTGTTGGTAATTTTGCACCGATATATCTATATTCTACATTCATGCGGATGCTACTGCTTCACACAGTCGGCAGGAATGCTGCCAACTGCTAAAGATACTCCCGGACTATTTCTAGCACAGACTAATTACATCTCGTCAATAATACATACATTAACGAATTTCTTCGCCGCCTCAGATGCGGTCGTTCTGGCCGTAATATCTATGTGCTCGCCTGCTTCACCACCGGCCTCCGTACAAAACGCTTGTCCTCCTAGTCGAAGCTCGATGAAATCCCGACCGCATATGAGGCTGGTGTCAATCAGCCGCATACTCCTCTATAACTTCTGCCGCAGATATATCTAAAAAGGTTTCATCCACTGTGTATGACCGTTCCTTGAGTTGCCTAGTGACTCAAAACAATTTGCAAATGTTAATACTCTTGTGGTACAAATCCAACTTCTTTTGTTTCACGTCCTAATAACTAAAGGCAAATGATCTTTATGGAATTCAGAGGACAATATAAACTTGTGACGAACTGAGGTAACTTGTTGGAACATTACCTGATATCTAGGGAAAAAAGATAGAGACAAAAACATACTATCATTGTCTGTGCACTTGATAGTAACACCCCATGGAAACGTAGGGTCTCCATGGAATTTCCGCCTGACTTTTATTCTGCTTGGCTTTTTTTTCGACGAATTAATGTAGGAGCCAAGAATCCTTCCTCTCCCGCGCGTCGATAACAAAAGATGAGTTTCACAAGCAGCTCTTTCAGGAAGATGTGGTCGAAGTGATATGTCTCCAACCTCTCTGTTACAAGAGTACCCAGAATGCTCTGTAAACTCTTGGCATCGATGAAGCAGATCGTACTGTCTTTCGCAGGGTGGTTGTCAATCATACTAATTAGCTCACCCAAGAAACTGCTTGCTAGCCAGTTCAGATCTACAATTACGAGATCAGAGTTTGGTACAAGAAATATCACTCGTACATCGTGAAGATACTCCAGAACTGCCTTCCATTCTTTCGAGCCCGCGGAAAAAGCCAGTCTAAAACTCCCAAGGGCCTCAGCATGTGAATTCTGATGACAGAATTCGTAAAACTGGAGTCGATTCCATACAGGCAAGTTCCAATGCTGCTGCTGAATTATGGAACTCAATTCGGCACATGCCGAAGGAATAATATGGGTTGCAGTTTGCAGAAGAGTTTCAAAGAGATAGAGAACCCGCTGCATCATCTGCCCGACATCTGCTTCATCTTTTGCATTAATTTGGTGAACATCTGTGCAAATACCCACAACTCCGTCAAAGACACTCCTGAATTCGCCGACGATCTTCGTCGCCCATGCTACATCCTTCTCCTCGTCTGTGAGCAAATCGGCGTGAGTGATCACTACGACCACCATCGGAATATATAGGGTCGTCGTAGTAAGGGAAGCAACGGACCGTAGCAAATATAGCAGCTCTGTCCAGAAAGCGGATTCCAAGTTCTGTTTTCTTTGGTGCACGTTATTGCCAGCTCCCTGCAACTCGAATGGACTGAAAACAAAGACGTACACATGAGCCTGATTTCCACGCGGCACTAAGCGATGTTGAACATCACGGTATATTTCTTGCCCTGAAAGATCCCACAGGGATATCTGCATCTTGTCGTCGTTCCGCATCATCTCCACTTCTATCCCTCTTGTGCTGCGCACCGTCTCAGTGAAGGCCTCCGTGCAGCTCTGATTCTTCAGCACTTTCTGCATCGTTGTTCTGAGTCTAGTCTTCCCTGTCATGAGATCACAGCCAAACCATCAGTCCTGTCCCGTACATTGCGGAGAAAGCTTAATTGTATCTACGAATTCCTCCCAAATTTTCTGCAATGCTACAGCTCTTGAACTGACTCACGTAACTTACACGACGAGAACGTATTCTGACTCTCCTCGTAACGGGCCGAAGCAACTCTTACGGCTCTTTCGATCCACGTGAACCGAATTTTGACAGCAATTTAACGAGGGGAACATGTTGGAATTTTGATGTTTATCCATCTGCTGTCAGAGGATAATCGGAGCGAAGAAATTGAAAATCTGGGTGACCTCTAACTTCGTCTGGAATACACTTGTGGTGCACTTGAGTATTACTATCATCCAAAAGAAAATCTGTCGATAAAACAGACCTGCAGCAGAGTTATTGAAGGAAGTCGCAGTCTATCCTTCGAATTAATTCTAGTTAGAAGTATAATTCTAGTTCTCAATGGGTCTAACGATTTTACACAGATTAATTTTAAGGTTTTAAACAGATTAATTTTACAACTTCGTGATCAGTCACCAGAAAATGAGAAGAGAATACCTGAAAGAGGCGACCCGCATAGAAGAAGCGTGCCTGATTTTGCTGACACGAAAGGCAGCTTGGCGTCCCGCAGGACGGAAAAGTATGACCGACGGTAGTCATTGCGGTCCAGCAGTTTCTCAATCAGCAAGTCCTTCATGTCTTTTTCAGAAGAGGGGGCGCCGCGGTTCTTGATCATCTGGAGGGTGGAATTCACGTTCAAGAGGGCCACGAGATTCCCGAACGCGGCCTCGGAATCCAGAGATTCGCAGCCCCAAAACTCCAAGCGGTTGACGGTCGTGTTCAGGCGCAGGGCGTCGAACACCGATTTCCATCCGGCAGCGGCGCCGCGGAGCTTGATCAGCTCCAGGTGCTTGACGGACGAATTCCGGCGGTCGCCCGTGAAGCTCTCGGACAGCAGCTTCGACACTCTGCCGTCGAGTGCCGTGTCTTCAACCGTCAGCTTCACGAGGCTCGTGCTCCGCCGCACAGCCTCGGCCCAGGCCTCGACGCCGACATCGTCCAGCGCGCCGGGTTTCTTCAGCCAGAGATGCCGGAGCCTCGGAGCCCTCTCGATCATCTCCCAGACGTGCTTCATCGCACTCGCCTCGGGTCTGTCGAGGAAAACCAGAGCTTCCAAATTCGATCCTCGGTTTTGCTCCAATCCCCGTGCGAGTCGAGCAACATTTGCCGCGCTCACTCCTTTCATCTCGAGAAACAGGTACTGCAAGCTACTGCTGGTGCGCAGAACCTCCCCTACAATGGAGTAGACTTTGTTCTGCACCGCCATGTCCACCGAGTCGCAAGAATTCACATACAGCTCTTCCAGTCGTGAATTGTACAGCAAAGGGTTCAGCAATGTCTCCCATTCGCTCGCCGAGAGATCGGAGTCCGGATCATTCTTCTCTGGCCTCACTATTATCGCCCTCCGGGTCCTGCAGTTCCCGTGCTTCTTCAGCAGCCTGAACCTTAGTTGGGTCCTCGGCGACGCTTCGGGTGGACACAAAATTCCCCCGTCGAAAAAATCGTCGTACGTTTCGAGTTCTTGCAAGACATGAAAATTTCGCAAATTTCGTTGAGATTGTTCTGCCAGTGTCCCTCCGTTCTGCTGCTCCAAGAGATTGCGGAGCGCGGCCAAGAGCCGCTTGCCGACGCTTTCCGCTCGCACCGGCATGCTCCCTTCGTCGGGTATAAGCTCCCAGTAATCGTAATCAACGTTGCTCGTGTCGGGCACCATTTCGTCTCGTCACAATCGTGTTCTCGTTGTGTTCTGTTCGTTCAGCGTCACCTGCTCATGCCAAGCACATTCACAGTTCTATGGAGTGATAATTATAGCAATTCGATCAGTAATGACAAAGGTGACCACTCAGAAAGGCCGGTTCCCCTTGGGGGAATCGGGGCACACGCCGGACACAAAAAAGCTTCAAATTCCCACTTATCTTCGTAGAGCTAGAATATCTTACATCAAATCCAGGTCACAGTTTTCCACTATCAAAATTCCACAGGATTCGTAACCTCCAGACACTGAATATGTGCTCAAGATTCCATCGATATAGAAACTGGATATCGAGGATGGCATCGAAAAGCATGAAAGCATAAGGTTGAAGAATACCTTCCGTCGGTGTGAAAAGGGGAGAACACGACAAATTTGAATGCACTGGCCTTGAGGCGCCCTACGTCTACGACCCGAGCATCGGGTGTGATCGGCTCCGAGAGGCGATAGAAATGGGTAGGCCCATGCACAACCGACTGGAATAATGGACTCCTCCTCCTCGCTGCGGACACAACAAGTGTTCAAGTGGTCCACCGAACGAATTATATACACGGATGAATGGTTAGTAAAGGACAACGTGAACGGAAAGCGAAACCTCCGTGGCTCATTGGCTTCGTCCCTGACATGAAAATCGGAACACATTTCGCCTTAACGAAATTGCAGGACGTGATTAGAAGGACCGGGTTTAATTACGGTACTGGATTTGAGGGCGAAATGGATGTCGTTGGTTACTGGCGCTGCACCAGAGGACTAATGAATGGGATCAGACAGATGGGCAGTTACCTTCTTTACTTTGGCAGGTTCTACTCTGGTTAAATTCGGTTGAGAAGTTCAGAAGATCGAACTGGTTTGACACCTGTTGGCTGGAGTTTAAACATGGCGCAGCCTGCACCAATCATCAGCCCAGGTTCCGGCCTTTTTTATTCCAGCCAGCTTTTGCACTGAGCCTGGGTTTGAAGTTTTAGTTACCACCGCGCAGAAGTAGTCGCCTCCTCTGACGACCTGAAGTACTCTGTGGGACCTGTGATGGCCGGGAATCATCCTGAAGATGATGGATCCGTGGATCGACCACTCTGGGTCGGTTCGAGGTCTATTCACGACTCCTGGTTGACAACGATCAAGCCCAAGTCTTGGTCGGTCCGCATTGCCGTCGCGAAGTCGAACTAAGAAAGTGTCGATCGAGTCGCTGTGGGTTGGTAGACCGATCGAATTGCCGAAAGGTGAGCGATTCACGTCAGTCTGCAGCATGAAGACTTTCCCGCCCTGTCTAGAGGGTGGTGGTTATAGATGTGTCCAAAACGAGGTAGAAAACTATTCCGCAACTAACGACCGTATCCTCTCATACTGTCACATTACTATCAGTACGCAATTACAACGATGTGTCTTCGAGTTAATCTCTTCGTTGAGGTTAATTTGATGCTCTTTTCGGGATGCGGGATCTATATTTAGAGTTGAAAGTTGTGCCGTTGATGGAAAGCAAATCTCATTAGTCGGTTCGAAAAGCGTACAGACATGTGTGGTCGAGTAGACGGATAAGTGTCAAAGCTCCAGTTCATAGTCACGTCGAAATTCAGTTTTCGTGAGAATTGTTCAGAATCTGGAATTCCTGGTAGCATGATTCCCGTAGAACATCAGATACAGTGATTCTCAATTCATGCCATCGAGAAGTATTTAATAGTTTGCTCCACTCATACTCTTGAAGACAACTGATGAACCACTCAAACGAGTGCTTCATGAGTTGATGAGTTTCGTTTGAGTGCATCTGATTGCATCTGATTTGGCACGAGAAGCAATACCCTTGCGATTACCTATAAGTTCAATCAATGTAAGATGTGAATCGAAGCGCTCAGAAGGCTAAGATCGAAATGAGGTCTGCGCCGCAATTGAGATACACGATCACAAAGCAAGAAACGTGCACAAGTTGGATTGAAGACTTGAATAAAGAAGAGATCGATGTTTGATAAGACACCCACCTGTTTACATTCACACAAAGAACCAGATCAAAGGTCTAATTCTAGCAGACCTGTGATTCTAGAATTGAACGAAGCGAGCTTCTTCTGCTCGACTAAAAGTAGACACAGACCCAACATCTCGGGCCTAAATTATAACCTCCAGATCTGCAGCAGTGATTATGCTTATCAGCACACGGAGAGTGTCGTGATTTGTCCATCTATGATCTCTCTCCACAGCCGCCTTCTACGATCCGCGAATTACTTCTCTTCTCCTCTGCCAAAGTCATTCTTCGGCTTCAAGATCAGAGGAAGAGAGATCATGAGTTTCTGTGTTGCAAGATGCGCACATCCGGGGCCTTCCAGTTCGAAGACATATTAGCAGAATCTGCTATCTGCCCTTGGACTTCTACTTCGCGAATCTCCTCAGGGTTCGCAGAATCCAAGGAGCGAAGAGTGCTACTCGTCGTTCATGCAAAAAGACACATGGAGATAGACAGGTCTGGAATTTTTGTCTCAAATTATGTAACTCTCTACCATCCCGCATATTAAGAATCTGATCAGTTAGTGAAACATTTGGCTCGATGGTATCTTGAATAAAGGTTGCCCTTCCGAAGCTTTGGTTCGTCAATCGGTCAGAGAGTTATCGACACAAAAACTCCTGGGAACGCCTCACGACCTGGTGGCACTCGCTGTCCCTCGTCGACGAAGAATCTGCATGGCTCCTTCCGCCATTCTAGCTGGGAGTTGTGAGAGCAGAGAGCTGGTTGTCGTAAGATTCGTAGATTGCAGGCTGGACGCCAAGATTCTAAGGGGCGTCAGATGACTAGATTTCTGGCACGCCCATTGTGCCTGGGACTTGCCAATTGAAAACTTTCAACTTTCAACACTTCAAATTTGATCTCTCCAACTTCAAGAAACCTTAAAGAGCCCGTCCGAACTTCAACACCGCCGCTTCACTTCGGTTCAATCCGAGTGAGTCCAATTAACAACTAATGGAAATTGCGCCTCGCAATCAGAGAGTCCGTTGCGATGCAGAACTGCTCAAAGATCGAATATAGCACATCTATATGCTGTAATCGATGCCTGGACCTACAAATAAAGTTGTCCTACTGTCTTTCATGGCAGCAATTTAAGGTACATTGAGATTGGGACCGGCACAAATCCACAGAACAACGGAGTCAGAGTTAAAGGGACGTAGTGTCGTTGCTAAAAACGGAGACATCAACATAATTACATCAAATTCCAAACTTCGAAGCACGATTCTCAAAAATTGACTTTAGTCAATCTACGAGGGTTTAGGGTTTAGCCCAGGCCTCATAACGCTTGGGAATTACCTAAATTAACTTGAAATATGGATTTTATTCGTCTTAATTTTGGTATATCTCAATATTACCAAAATTACTACAAGAAAAAGACTGCAGACACGCTATTATTCGATCGTGGTCTAGATTTACCTTCCCTAGATTTAAACCATCGTTTCAGGTCTTAGTGGGTTTGAGATGTATTCCTAACTAATTGAAAACAAACATCGAGAGATTATTACCATCACAAGTGTTCAACTTTAACAATTTTTCTGGGGTTTACTTTCGAAGGGAGTGGATTTATTGGTTATAGCATCACTGAAAGACTTCAAGGACAAATTTTATTGTTTAATTGAGTTAGCACCAAAAGGTGCAAAAATCAAAAGTCTTGTTTAGGATGTTCAGTCACTGAACTACCCTCGCAAGAATTGCCCTGGACAGATCTTCTTAAACTCTGAAAATACTCTTATTAACTTGACCTTGCATTTAAAAAATCTGTAAAAGAAAACTCGAAGAGTTGAATATAAATACAAGAAACAGAGCATGAATCAAACTTTTAATGATTTTTTAGTACGTGAGTATTCTTATTGGTGGAAAAGTCAAATTTGTCTCTGATTCCACAAGTATTAGCAAAAAAAATTCCCATTTATAATCATAAAGTCATCCCTAATTTATGGACTACACAAATTTTAATCTCGGTTAATTTTGGAATTAGTAGGTGAATCCCAAAATTTAGGAGGCCTGTGACACAGGCTAAACTTTAGCCTGTGACCATGTTAAAGAAGGATACAAAGTAAGTCATCGCCTCGGAGTCAGCACATAAAGGGAACTCGACCTGGTTAGGCAACTGTCACCATCCCAACGTCCACCTCAGCTCACCATTTCACTTTATTCAGCAACCCCTTTGTAGCTGCTTCGTAGCATTATCTTGAATTATGCTCATTATGTATATCGTACATATACATAATATAACATCAATGGCAATTTAAATCATGAACTCTTGTATGTAACATAATGGAAAACTAACTGATGATTGATCACATATGGAGTAGAATGTAAATACAATCGAGCATGTAAATTGTTCCGATTTGTTTATCTAGCATAATATTTAGTAAAGTAAGTCACAGCAGCAGAAGGTTCGACATGATGTCACGCATGGTGTATGCACTTATGCTCGTACCCTTCCTGGCTGAACATTATACCAATCAAAACGTAATTAGAAAATTATGAACTAGAAATGTATAGAAAATACGGGGCTATTCAAGCTAGGTTTGGCAGTGTATAACGTCAGTGTTCACATCATACAGTTCTAATTAAAAAAGCTCAGTTTCTGCTGACTCGTTGCTGGATGGAAGCTGCTCAGCGCGACTTCTTGAGCGCTTCTTGCATGAGCTAAGTTATTGTTGGTGTTGAAATACTGATTTGTAGTGATCTGAAGTACAACGATGCATGACAGATGATCGAGACTAAAAGAAGAGGCATTTACAAGACTCTTCCTGGAACAATAAATTCACCTTGCTGGACTTTCTAAAAGTCTTGGTCTTGGCAACGATGGGACCCCTGTGCATCGCGCTCCGTCTTGGCGGCTTGCTTTGGTCGATCAAGCAACCAGGTGAATCATTTATTAGGCCTCGATCATACCACAACATTTTTTCAACATTAGTTGAAACTTAATGAGGGCAATGCACCTTCCTCAAGTCATTCACTAGTAATATTCTTCATATTGGCAATCTAGCTCGATGAGTATATTTCGACACTTTCTCTTCTATGCTTCATAGACTGCGCAAGCTAAAAGACGTGAATATGAAGGAGCGGTATCAGAACCTTGCAGTTGCTGATACTTACTTCCGCCATGTAGCTCACAGTTCCAATGTATTATCCAAGTTCGGTCCTCATTCTATGCTTTACTTACCCTGACTGTAAACAATGATATCACCAAACGTTCAAATGGAAAGTGTTCTAATAAACGACTTGGGAATTTCTTTATCACTTTTCCAATTAATCTGTTACTGTACTTTCAGGCAGTCCTAGATATTCAACTAGAATCGTAATGCTTATAGATCACCTGCTGAAGACAGCTACAGGGGGTCTACAAGTTTCTGGAACAAAATGATTTGCCTCATTCCAGAGGACGTTGACATTGTTCATCGTTTCATCGTTTCGAATCATCTCATCTCATAACCAAAGGGTATGAGATGAGATGATTCGTGCTGTGCCCAGCATATAGTAGACGACAGTGCTTATTATCTTAGTTGGGAAATTCGAGAGTTTTAATTATATCAGATTCTGTATTGAGGTACCATCATATTTACAAGTCAGTGCACTAATAT